TTTCTGACTTCCCTTAAAACTTCCTCTCTTCCTTCAACTACCGTATATCCCTCTATAAACAAATGAGCTCCTCAGCACCAATTATCTAATCTCCCCGCAAACTGAAGTGAACAAAAACAAGCATACTCTCGAGGCAGAATCCAACATTTTAGACAAAAAATGCCACTGAATCTCTCCCACCACACATCGCAATTTCCAACTCATCTCTGTGACAATTCCCAAAAAGGGCAGTAACTTGTGCTACTAGCAATAAAAATAATTTTATTTCTATACCATCCTTCTCCCGAAGGAGTCAAGGCGGTGTACAACCTATTTTGTTTAAAAAAAAAAACAAGGCAAACACCAATTTAAAAGAATTAAAAATATTAAATGGATTCGGCTCAATTTAAAACCCCAGAAATTTAAAACATCCGATTTAAAATTATGTTGCTAACCCAGCCTGGCGAAACAACAGGATTCTGAGTACAGGTTTAATGAAGCGTTTTTAAACCTCCAAAAATTTCCAGAAAAAATAAAATCAAAATTGTATTCAGAGCAGAAAAGTTTTCATATGCAAATTAAAGAGACTTAGCAGCAACAGCATTAGCCGATCACCCACTTCCCCCTTCTTTCTCTGGCTGGTCCTCTGAGAGAAAAAAATGGTTAAACCGTAGCCCCCCCCCCTCTTTCGTGCCTCTCATCTCCCAGGGAAAAGGAGGGGGTGAGAGAAAGGAAAAAAGTTAAAAGGAACTGTTTCTCTCTTACAAAGGAAAAGGAGGGGGGGAGAGGGAAAAAAATGTTGTACAGCACGCAAGGAAGCCTCGCTTCTCTCTTCCATTTAGCATTCTTACAACAAAGCAACACAGTATTATTACTATACTAACATTAGTATTTCTCTAATTTCTCACTTTATCAACACACAGGCTTTTCATATTTGTACTGCAATCAGACTTCTTTAAACCAATTTCATATACAAAAAATCCCACTTCATGCAAACCAACCATTACAATAATCTCAAATATCTCTCACAGCCTCAAGCACAAATCATCTCACTTTGCTGGCAGCCACATATATCACAATCAATTAAATTCCATTCAAATTTACACACTATCATTATATATATACATATATATTTAACAGAAATCACACCAAATTGGTCAAATCATATCTGTTTTCCCATTTAGACAGGCTTCACGTTTTTAACTGCCTGCTAAACCCCGGGAGGGAAGAACAGTAAACTCTGGCTGTTTAAGAATGTCAGTTTATCAGAAAATTTATAACACTGCAATTAGTTCTTCTCTTACCACACATAAGATTACACATAATACTTAGTACTTAATTTCAACAATTAAATACTTAATTCCAGAGACTTCAGCACGCCAACTGGTCTCTCAGGAGATTGATCAGATCTCACTCTTCCACCCTTTTAATGGGTAGGTACCTCTAAACAGAGAGACTTTAACTCTCTAATTTATACTTACCTGTTTTCTTTCTTTCTTTCTATCTTTCTTTCTTTCTTTCTTTCTTTCTTTCTCTTTTTTTCTTTTTTGTATTTTTGTTGAGTCTCTGTTGTCTGATCAACCTTCAAGGATTCTTGACTGGCCTGTCTTCGTCAGCGGGTTTACGGCACCTCCTCACTGAATCTCCATGGACTTCAAAGGAGTCCTAATGGCCGGCCAGTGGATTTTCCTTGGGGAGGCGTCGATTCCCACTGAGGCAGGCTGTCTGGTAGAACAAAAGTTCTCTGCCTTGTAGTCCCATCTGCAGGGTGCCATAAATGTTGTGGATTTAATAAGACAAACACAACTTTTAGATTGATCAGAGACAGATTTTATATATATTGCGCAATAGGTTCAAGGCTCTGTACATGAAGCGTTGAACAAAGACAGGAATTAGGTACAATGGTTTTATACCCTTCTAGACAAAGGATTCTTTGAAGTCAGCCGTTTATGTGGTCCTATACATTTATCAATTTTAGTTGACATTACAGTCATAATTCTTTTTGTAGATTACTGAAGCATATCTTTTATCTTTTGACGATGGACAACTTTTAACTCATGTGGATCCCCTTGACCTAACCAACCTTTAAGCTGTATGTCATTAGAATGTTCCTTTCTTCTGACAACTTAGAGGCCTCCTAGAGGAACCAAAAGGATTTTGGCTGAGTTTGTACTCTTTCCAGCCGGATGCATTGCTTTTTAGAATAGAGTGAATAGAAAGTTATCCAGTGGTCATCCATCAGAGCCCGCTTCTGTTGCAATATTTTTAGGATCAGACTCAATAATAATAATAAGAGTTAGAGGTTTAAGTATATTTCTCTTTAATTATAATAGGCATTCTATATTCACTGAATATTCACAGATAGAAGCAAAGAAAATGGTGAAGGTGGCTCCTTATATATACAAAGGGTGGAGCCAAGAGTGGGAGTGGTGAATTATGAATACATTAAGAGTCAAAGAATAAGTTAACCCCTGATATCCCATATATACATTATTTACACATTAGGGAATAAGGCATTTACATCTGACAGCTTCATTACATTAGAAGTCTACACATCTTAAAGTGGCTGAGGTTGAGAAATCCTGCATGTTTCTTTCCTGTTGTACCACCCATCCATAAATATTTTACTAGTGTTCCTCGAAATTCCAAGCACCGTGTTTCCCTGAAAATAAGACCCTGTCTTATATTTTTTTGAACCCCAAAATAAGCACTTGGTCTTATTTTCGGGGGAGGTCTTATTATTTTGGGGCGCATGGAGCAAGACAGGGCTCCTCTTGCCATCTTACCTGATTTCCACCTCTGTCTCCCTAACTCTAAGCAGAGGAAATGGCGCTTAAATATTTTGAGGAAGGGCTTATTTTTGGGGAGGGCTTATTTTAGCGCATGTGCTCAAAATCCTGATTGGGCTTATTATCCGGGGAGGTCTTATTTTTGGGGAAACAGGGTAGTTCTCAACTTACAACCATTCATTTAGTGACCATTCAAAGTTACTACAGCACCGAAAAAAGTGACTTATGACCCTTTTTCACACGACTGTTGCAGCATCCCCAGAATCAGGCAATCAAAATTCAGAGGCTTGGCAACTGGCATGTATTTATGACAGTTGCAGTGTCCCAGGGTCATATGGTCACCTTTTCACGACCTTCCGACAAACAAAGTCAACCAGGAAGCCAGATTCACTTAACAACCGTGTTACTAACTGAACAACTGGAGGGATTCACTTAACAACTGTGGCAAGAAAGGTCGTAAAATGGGGCAAAACTCATTGAACACTTGCTTTGCTTAGCAACAGAAATTTTGGGCTCCACTGCGGTCATAAGTCAAAGACTATTGTATGGATCATTAGGTGGCCAGACGGTAGTTCTCTTCCAACCTGGCCTACCTCACAAAATAGAGAATAAAATAAAAGGAAATCTCCCATATAAGCGGCTTTTTGCTTCTGAAGTCAAGGAAGGGGGCTGAAATTAATCCAATAGATGTCTAGCAGATACTGAGAAGCAATGTTGTTGAGATGTTGAGACTCTAGAAAAAGTGCAGAGAAGAGCAACCAGGATGATTAGGGGACTGGAGACTAAAATATATGATGAACAGTTGCAGGAATTGGGGAACTAGTGAAGAGAAGGACCAGAGGAGACATGATAGCAGTGTTCCAATATTTGAGGGGCTGCCACAAAGAGGAGGGGCGTCAACCTATTTTCCAAAGCACCTGAAGGCCAGACAAGGAATAATGGATGGAAACTGATCAAGGAGAGATTCAACCTGGAAATAAGGAGAAATTTTCTGACAGTGAGAGCAATCAACCAATGGAACAGCTTTGCCTTCGGAAGTTGTGGGAGCTTCATCCTGGAGGTTTCAAGGGGAGACTGGACTGCCATTTGTCAGAAATGGTGTAGGGTCTCCTGCTTGGCCGGGGGGTTGGACTAGATGACCTACAAGGTCCCTTCCAACTCTGTTAATCTATCTGAAGTCAATGAAGTTATGCCAGTCGGAGTGCATTCGAGTTCCTCAGGCTACAAAAAAAAAAAAAAGAAAGAAAGAAAATGCCGAATCCCATCTTCTATACTCTGGGTCCTCAAATCCCAGCTTGGAGATTGAGGTGGAACATAACCCCGAATTCTCCTTTTAGAAATTCAAGGTAGAACTTATTACTTTTGTTTCCTGGAATGTTGAGTTCCTCCGAATCATCCAGGTCTAATCCTTCAGAAAACTTGCTTTAGAAGAAATCAACCCTCCTGTTCCCATTTTTTTCTATATCAGCCTCTTCCTACATAATCCGGAAACCTGGTGCCAATAATAAATAAATTGCTAGCATGGAATCAATGTCCAGCAAGATTAAGCATTTAATCCAGCACTATTCAGAGCCTGGCTAGTCCTTTGCATGCTTTCTATTAAGAAATCTTAAATCTGGACAGCAGAATCACTTTTCAGCCATGGAGGGTGGTGGAGGAGAGATTTATACAGTATCTCACCAGATTGGGATTTGAGAGAGATTCAAACCAAGATTTTGAGCCACTGTAGAGAATTCCATCCACCTTCTACTAAACCCCAAAGTCACTTGCTAATAACACAGATTTCCAGGGAGGATTTTAATTGAAATTTGACTTCTTTTGGAACTGTATGGAAAACCCATCAGGAGCAAGATTAACAAGAGATCAGAACTCATTCCAAAAATCACCACAGCAACAAATAATGTCTTGCAGGAACTCGCTTAATGCAATAAATTTAGTGAAAATAGTATTTATAACTCACACGGACCACTTGAAAGTATATTTATTTCTATTCCAACTTTTTATTCAGTTCTTTCAGTTTTAGAGTCTGTTTTGCAAGGGAAGAGCAAAGCTGTTTGAGTCAAGTTGACTCAGGAGTAAGCAACCATTGAATTAAAATAGATTCACTTCCCATTAAGTATGTTTAGAACCTCCTAACTTTCTCAGGAAATATCAGGTATTCTTCCCCTTCTCCACCTCCTGGCTTCAGAGGCAAAGAATCAGCTGAAGTAAATAGTTAAGTTGCTTTCTTACCCTTGGGTTGAAATGCTCTTTTCTAGTTTGAATGGCTCTCCCCCACTTTTCCTCCATTGTAGTTCTTGTCTCCTGCCCAGCTCGTCCTTGTTCTTGGCACTCAGCTTCAAGGGGAGAGGGAAGAGTTCAGGAACTGAAAATTGCAGCTGGGTTCGGTGTAGCAATGATAATGCAGCATTTTTCCACCTCTGCAAACCCTCAGCATGCTAGCAAAGCTGCATCAGCATTTTTTTCACACCACTGCGTTAACACTACTGCATCCAGGTTGGGAGGGAGGGAGCAGAGAGGGAGGGGTTGGAGAAAGAGCTGGACAGAAAGGCCAGTAATGATGCTAACACAGGGCATCAGTGGGTGGATCGAACAATTGTGGCAACTGATGGGGAAGGAGGAAACAGCCCCGGCAAAAAGTTATTGGTAACATGGGTTAACTTGTCAGATGTGAAGGCTCAGAACAAAAGGATTTGACAATGTAGCCATGTCCAAAAAAATAATAATAGATGTTGACACTTTGGAAAAAGTGCAAAGAAGAGCAGCTAAGATGATTAAAGGTCTGGAGACTAAAACGTATGAAGAACGGTTGCAGGATTTGGGGTACGGCGAGTCTAGAGGGAAGAAGGACCAGGGGGGACATGATAGTATTCCAGTATTTGAGGGGCTGCCAGGAGGAGGACAGGATCAACTTATTTCCCAAAGCATCAGAAAGCAGGACAAGAAACAAAGGGTGGAAACTAAACAAGGAGAAAAGCAACCTGGAATTAAGGAGAAACTTCCTACCGTGTTTCCCCCAAAATAAGACCCTGTCTTATATTTTTTTGAACCCCAAAATAAGTGCTTGGCCTTATTTTTGAGGAGGTCATATTATTTTGGGGTGTGTGGAACTCCTCTTGCCATCTTACTGATTTCCAGTTCTCTCTCCCAAACCCTAACCAGAGGAAATGGCGGGGATTGGCTGCGCATGTGTTTAAATATTTTCAGGGAGAGCTTATTATCCGGGGAGGTCTTATTTTCGGGGAAACAGCGTAACAGTGAGGACAATTAACCAGTGGAACAGCTTGCCTCCAGAAGTTGTGGGTGCTTCACAACTGGAAGTTTTTAAGGAGACTGGAAAGTCACTTGTCTGAAATGGTATAGGGCCATGATGGTGAACCTATGGCACATGTGCCACAGGTGGCACGCATAGCCATATCAGTGGGCATGCCAGCTCAACTGCGGCACGCATGTGTGCACTGGCCAGCTGATTTTCGGGCCTTCTGGGCCCACCAGAAGTAGGGAAACAGGCTGTTTCCTGCCTCCAAAGGGCCTGGGGGGGGGGCGGGGGAAGGCCCGTTTTTCTTTCCCACCTGGCTCCAGATCCTCTCTATGCTTCTGGGGAGGGTGAAAACAGCCTTCCCCACCCCCTTGGAGGCCCTCCGGAGGCCTAAAATGGCCCATTTCCCAACTCCCGGTGGGACAGGAAGTGACATTTTTGCAGTCCCAGGCTCCAGAGACTTCTAGAAAGGCTCTGGAGGCTGGGGAAGCAAAAAAGTCACTTCCTGTCCCACCGGGAATTGGGAAATGGGCCGTTTCAGGTCTCCGGAGGGCCTCCAAGGGGGTGGGGAAGGCTGTTTTCACCCTCCCCAGATGCATAGAGAGGATCTGGAGCCAGGTGGGAAAGAAAAACAGGCCTACTGGGCCATCGTGTGCCAAGAGTGGGGGGAAGGGGGTTGTGCGCGCATGCACAAGGCAGGGTGCATAGAATTATGGGTGTGGGCACACGCACGCACAAATCTCCCTTGCTCCCCCCCTTCCTGGCACGTGATAGCAAAAAAGTTAGATATCACTGGTAAAGGGTCTCCTGCTTGAGCAGGAGGTTGGACTAGGAGACTTCGAAGGTCCCTTCCATCTCTATTCTGATTTTATTTATTTATTGTTAAATTTGTATACCGCCCTTCTCCCTGAGGACTCAGGGCGGTGAACAGCCAAGTAAAAACATAAACTACAAACATTAAAATACAATTAAAAAGATATATATAAATTTGGCCCCATGATTAAAAACAGTAACAAACAATTAAAAACATTTTTAAAAATGTTAGGCCAGCCCGGCTTGCTGGAAAAAGAAGGTTTTAAGGGCATGGCGGAAGGCACCGAGGTCTTGGATTCTCCTTATCTCTGGGGACAGCTGATTCCAGAGGGTAGGTGCCCCCACAGAGAAGGCCCTCCCCCTGGGGGTCACCAGCCTGCACTGTTTGGCTGATGGCACCCCGAGGAGGCCCTCTCTGTGGGAGCGCACAGGTCGATGGGAGGCCGTCGGTAGCAGCAGGCGGTCTCGAAGATAACTAGATCCTATGCCATGGAGCGCTTTAAAGGTGATAACCAACACCTTGAAGCTCACCCGGAAGACCACTGGGAGCCAGTGCAGCTCACGCAGGAGAGGTGTTGTATGGGAGCGCCATGCGGCTCCCATACAACACATTAAGTTAACCCTTCAGCATGTTACAAAATGTAACCGCCAAGTCCTTGGTGTTAAATGTGAATGGTTTGCAGAATTCCCATCCTTTCAAGTACAGGTAGTCCCCGACTTACAAGAGATCATTTAGTGACCAGAGTTACAACAGCACTGGAAAAAAGTGGCATGACCATTTTTCATACTTATGATCATTACAGCATCCCCACAGCACATGATAAAAAATTCAAGATGCTTAGCAACTGGTTCATATTTATGCTGGTTGCAGTGTCCCAGGATCATGTGATCACCTTTTGTGACATTTTGACAAAGTCAAAGGGGGAAGTCAGATTCACTTCACAACCATGGGGCTAATTTAACAACGGCAGTGATTCACTTTAACAGCTGTGGCAAGGAAGGTCATAAAATGGAGCAACATTTGCTTAACAACTGTCTTGCTTAGCAAGAGAAATTTTGGGTTCAGCTGCGGCCGTCAGCTAAAGACAACCCGTATCTGTGAACTATCAATAACCCAGTAATCGATTATCCACTGCAGCATGCAAACTTTACCTTTTCACTCACCCTTAAAGTAGCAATTGTTTGTAAACATTCTTTGCTGTTGAACTCTAACAATTGTGTCCAGCAGCTCGGATATTCATCAGCATTCTCTGACATCAGAGCAATTCACCCAATCACAGGTGACTTATTTCAGCATCAACAATAGGTGGCTGAGAATTGATATATCACCAAATCGGTGTTAATTCTTGTTGACCACACGGAAAGTCTTCTGCAACCTGCTGCCAACTTGGACCTTTGAGATCTTCCAACAGCACACCCATCATCACCTTACACGTATAAAATGTACTTTACACATGCACAAAATCCATCTTCATTTTGGTAAAATAATTGAATTATTTTATTTATTTTTTTTGGATTCTTCGTTTGCTTGTTCGGAGGGCTCACTGGCTTTTATTAGAGGAGATGGGATGGGATGCATAGGAGGGAATCCCCAGGAGGGAAGGGAGGCATTCCGGTGGTGTAAGAGGCAACCCAGGCCAGATTATCATGTGTGGAAGAAAAAGGATGAAGACAACTGCTCCTTAATAGTTCCCAGAGTATAGTATAGATGCAGATACAATAGTCCTCAATCTGGCAAGATTCTGTCTATAGGTGTGAAACAATAAAGAACCTTCTTTGGAAGAATTGCCCCATGTCATTCTTGGTTTTGGGCCTCACAGGAGAACACCACTGCAAAGCTCAAATAGGAAGTCCAAAAGAGGAAGTTACTAGAAGAAAGAAAATTACCCCCTTAAACCTCCAAAACGAGAATAATGTGGCATAGTCATGCAAAAGTATTGTTAAGTTGGTGGTTGTTAAACTGCAATTTGCTGAAGTAGCCACAATGCCTGGGTAGGTCCCCATGTTACTCCAAGTCAAAATCTAATAAAATCATATTAGAGCTGAGCAGGATGTGTGTGTGTGTCAGGGGTGAAATGCTACTGGTTTGGACCGGTTCACCCGAACTGGTAGTAATAAAATGATATTTATTATGCAAATGCTATAAATGCTACAGGTTCAGGCGAACCGGTATTTCCGATGATCAGCTGTGCCATGCAATTTAGATTGGATTTAGAATCTATATCGTGTGGCACAGCTGTCCCACCCCTCGCTTTCTGCTTATCTTTGCAGACTCAGAAAAGGCTTCTTAATCCTTTTTCAGCGCTGCGCGGTAGCGCATGCAGTGCACATGCATACAAAGCATGTGTTTGCCACGCACTGCGCATGCATGCGCATGAAGCAAACCGGTAGCAAAGCGAACCGGTAGCAGACTTCAGGGCATTTCATCCTGATATGTGTGTGTGTGTGTGTGATTGCGTAGATGTGATCAAATGAACTGCTTTGTGCTGTAAATGGTCTATTTAAGGGCTGGGAAATTTAAGCATATAGCTACACAGGTAGTCCTCGCTTAATGGCCATTCATTTAGTGACTACTAGTTGTATACCTATACGCTGACATTTCCTAACCCTTGAATTTATATCATTATACAGCTACATTCAAATATGATATGGGTTCTTTTCATAAATTAATTTTTTGCACATCCTCCAGTGCAATTTCATTCTCTTTTCTGTGAGTAGAAAGGCTGACTTTCACAGACCAATTGTGGTAGTATACAAAATGCAAAGCGTTTTATTTCACCACATAAATGGAAAGGAACTAGAAACAAACGAACCCCCAAACTTCTATATATTAATGTAAAAAAATCTATTTTTTTTTCTGCTCTTCAAATATATACACATCCCGATACACATAAAGAAACAAACAGCTACAAGTATTCCCAGGAAAACACAAAAAAAGGCATTTGACAGGATAAATGGAGAGATGATGAAACAAACAAACAAAAAAGAAGCTGTTATAGGCACACTGTACCACTGAAACATTTTCAAACAGAAATATACATCTACTGTAATTAAGACGGGTAAATTTCAAACAATTGAAAATACTTGAAACATTAGCTTACCCCCATCAAGCAACAGTTAGTCATGACTAAAGCTACAATTCTATATACAATTTCTTGGAAAAAAAACATTCAGCTTTGTGGTACTTCCTCCTGAGAGAATAGAAATATAACCGTAGCATACCTCCCTTTGCACGCTGATTCCAGGGAATCATTCTATGTATGGAAAAGCTTTTCTCGCATTTGTACATATTTGAAAAAAGACACAAGAACTAAAATTCAGAAGTGCATCACACACTACACCCTCTTTTGCACAAGTAGGACTATCATCTCTGGACTGCAAAAAATCCAGATGAACAGTCAGAGGAAGCAAAGAGGTACATGAAACCTACTGCTTGCTGCCTTTAGCAGTTCTCTAGATTTTTACAGCCCAAATATGGTAATCTATTCAAGATGTCTGCCAAAGAACACCACCACACAATCTTTTGCACTTTCTGACAATATCGTAAAACAACAGCTCCGTTTGTTTTTAATACGCATGTTTTACATACCAAGCCACTGTGGCTTATAAGTCATGGTTTACAGCTTGCAACATGAGCATTCAGACCATCGAACAAACCATGATTAAAACAAGCCCTGGGTTACTACTGTGCGTGAACCCTGTCCTTGGTTTTCAGTGTTAGAATTTCTTTCAATTGCATAAATCTGGATGCAATCAATTTAACAGAATAGGACGTTCTATATAGTCTATACAATCTGAGTTGTCAACGAACCCTACAAATCTTCAGGAGTGTCAAACTCGCGGCCCGCAGGCCGGATTCGTCATGCGCTGGCCACGCCCACCCCCGGTTTAGGGAAAGGGGAAAAAAGTCGTAATATGCCACATGACTATGCGGGTTTGATACACCCCTGCTCTAAGCAAAAACATGTAAGACTGAGCTGCACAACGATAACTTCTGAAGGACCAGGTTCAACAAATGTTTGTCACTTATGTTTTAACTTGGGTTGTGTTTTTTGTTTTGTTTTTTTTCTGATAAAGGATGCCTCCACCAAAAGCATAGAAAGCTCTTAATTATTTTAGGACCTATTGAGGACATTGGGAATTCCCGTTTCTGCAACTTTCTACAACTTTGAAAGAGGCTTGGTGAATTAATTACTTAACAAAATATATTTATTGCTTAAGACATTAAACAATATTGTGTTGGAGGCTAAAAAGAAAGTCTTTTTGTCCTTTTGTCTCCTTTCCACCAAGGTATTTATTGCATAGGTTGCCTGTCAGAAGTTGCCTGTGTGATCCAACGAAGATGGCAGCTAGGAATGTGCCCGGATGCCATGGCTAACTTCCAGGGCACTTTTGGAGTGGCATCTTTATCATGGAATCACAGGAGAAAAGAAAAACTCGCGCACTGATTTCCTGACTCTTCTCTTTAGTTTGGAAAAGTGCATTTTTTCCAACCACCCTTTTATACAGTACAGTATCTACAATCAGGTCACCTCAAGTCTCCAGGAAAAAAACAAACAAGTGTACAAAGAACAGGGCCAAGTCCTCATATTTTGGGATGATCTGGAGGATGTGGAATGGCAAAACTGGTCCTTATGAGGAACCAGCATCCATTCTTTTTTTCGGTTCAGTCCATGAACACATCCAGATCAAAGTCCGGTCGGTGCCACGTCAGATCCGGCCAATCTCAGTTCCTTCCTTCTTTTCTTGTCCACTCTTGACAACAGCGAGGACCAGGTATCTCTTGGCCAACCATGGATTTGCAAAGTATCTTTGAAGCCACTTCCTTCTTCCAGCTTCTCCAAACATCCAGTGCTTAATTAATCCCAGTGTGCTTGGACCAGATGGTCCCAGTTATTTTGCCAGTGTTAGTCCATGAATCTAAAGCTGAAAATGCAGCCCCCTCAGATGGAGTCTGTCAAAGGCCTAAAATATCCCTTTTGACACATGCAGACTTTCACAGAAAACGAGGGGGGGAAGAAATACAGCAAAAAAGAGGGAGGGGGAGAAACAGAGACAGACAAAGAGGCAGAGAGAAATAGACACAGACACAGACACACAGAGAGAGAGAGAGGGAGGGAGGGAGGGAGAGAGAGAGAGAGAGAGGGAGGGAGAGGGAGAGAAACTGACTGACTGACTTTCTGGAGAAAGGCATCAGATACAAACAGTGGAACACTACTGAGTTCACCAAGGTTAATGATATAACCTTCCATTATGCAAGGGGAGGAATGAAATCCAGTCCACACCCCTTTCCTCAATGCTAGTGAATTACAGTGCCCGGTAGCCTTGCTTAACATTAGGCCTTCCCAGCTCTGATAGATTACAACTCCCATGTTCTCATCCAAGCCCCCATACCAACACCAATCGCTTTTATGGAAGATCCGCAGAGACCCTTGCACACCGTGTTACACAGGTTGCTGTGCATGAATCCAACCTTTAACCACAAAAGATATGTGTTCAGTTCAGTTTGAAAGCATATGGAAGGAAGGAAGGAAGGAAGGAAGGAAGGAAGGAAGGAAGGAAGGAAGGAAGGAAGGAAGGAAGGAAGGAGGGAGGGAGGGAGGGAGGGAGGGAGGGAGGGAGGGAGGGAGGGAGGGAGGGAAGGAAGGAAAGAAGGAAGGAAGGAAGGAAGGAAGGAAGGAAGGAAGGAAGGAAGGAAGGAAGGAAGGAAAAGCTTTCAGCAATGGATGGAACAATCACCCCAACTTCGCTTATAAATCCAGTGTAATGTTTCTGTTAGGATCCCATTAAAGAGCATTCAAAAACCCCATTTAATCTAATTTGACAAGCTAAAGGAGTGTGTGAAGGACGGGGGGGGGGAAGAGTGCTCCCCCACAATTTCTCTGGAGTGTCAAAGGAAAGAATTGGAGGGTATGAAAAAAAAAAGGGAGTGTTAGTATTAAAAGTGGCAAAATGCACATATTGTACTGTGCTCGATTGTTCAAAATGTTTAGGTATTTTACTGCAGCCATCCTTACAGACTCCTGCTAAGCAAGCCAACCTGAATATCCTCTCCTCATCTTCTCAATGAGGGGCTGAAATCTAGGGCTACTTAGGGGTGGATCTGACTGTGAAATTGGGGAACGAGGTCCTTTGGGTTTACAGCAGTGGTGGAATTCAATTTTTTTTTTTACTACCAGTTCTGTGGGCATGGCTTGGTGGGCGTGGGCGTGGCAGGGGAAGGATACTGCAAAATCTCCATTCCCACCCCACTCCTGGGGCCAGCCAGAGGTGGTATTTGCCGGTTCTTCGAACTACTCAAAATTTCCGCTACCGGTTCTCCAGAACCTGTCAGAACCTGCTGAATAGCACCTCTTGTTTACAGTCCTCTGTAGGAGACCTGCTTATAGAGCTGCTAGCACTGAATGGATGGAAAGGACATGATTAGCCCAATCAGAACATTATACTGTGCCCGGTTTGCTGCTGAAGGAAGGAAAACAGAAAAAGGGGGCTTCAGTAAATACCTTAGCCACTAACCCTGCTTCCTTAGCTCACCCTCAAAACCTGGAGATCAAAGAACAGAAGAAAGACCTAGAATGATGCAAGAGAAGAAAAACGTTTGGAAGAACAAGTCATAAAATATTTCTTCCAATTATGGCAGGATGAATAGGGCTACTTTTGACAGAGCAGCTTCCTTGCTTGGGTGTCTCCCAGATGTGTTCAGCCTTTCTAGCCAACATGGTCTCTGGCTACAGACAATCTCATGTTCGCCAGATGTTTTGGATTTACAACTGTCCTTTGCGGCAAATGTTCTTGACGGAATATGGGACAGACTGATGGAGGGCCCCCGGTTGCTTACTCTGTGGTTGATAAATGCTAAAAAAAAAACTTTGAGAATGGTAGTTTCTAGACAAAGCAGGAAGGCACCAAGTTGGTTTAAATCTGATCTAGGACAAGGAGAAATAGGAGTTTTACACGAGCGGAAAAACAAACCATCGGGTAAGAATTTCAGAATAACAATTTTGGATCGTGTGATGAAATAAGTTAGTTAAGAGATGACCAGGGAGAAAGAAAAAAGAGTCGAGAAAGAGAACCACATATCGGAAGGTGAATGGTGAGATTTGGATGAGCAAAGGCTGAACGACCAGATGTCCCACAAAAATGCTCTGGAGCATGATGGCCTCTGAGCCGCATCCAGTCTCCAGCAGTCTCGATGGTGCTGTCCAACTTCTTAACACAGCCTCCGATGGCCAGTGCTAGTTTGGTTCACACCATATTGAGGGCATCCTCAGCCAGGAAGCAGTGCAGGTGTTGGAAGGATGGGCGGTCCTTGGCCTCTCTTGCCCAGCATCTCAACATCATCTCATAGACAGCCAAGGGGCAGGTGGACGGACGGCAGAGATAGACCTGAAGATGGAGGAAAAGAGACAGTGTGACATGGCTCCGAGATCAGCCAGCCAAAGACAGAGCCTGGATTTTCTTGAAGCTTAATCTTAAAAGACTCAAGGTCTTGGTGGCGCAGTGGTTAGAATGCAATATTGCCTGCCCACAGTGTAGAGTTTGATCCTGATGTAACCTCGAAGTTATAACGGCACTGAAAAAAGTGACTTATGACCGTTTTTCACACTTATGACCACTGCAGCATCCCCACATGGTCATGTGATGCTTGACTCACATTTATGACGGTTGCAATGCTCTGGGGTCATGGAATCCCCTTTTGCAAACTTCCGCCAAGCAAAGTCAATGGGGAAGCCAAGTTCACTTAATAACCATGTGACTAATTGCAAGATTAAAAGAAAGAACTGCAATGATTCATTTAACAAATGTGGGTCAAGAAAAATTTTAAAATGGGGCAAAACTCACTTAACAACTTAGCAACATAAATGTTGGGCTCAATTGTAGTCGTAAATTGAGGACTGCCTATATATGTACCTGTGTGAGTCCTAGCCTAATGTATTATATAAATACATTTATACCGTGTTTCCCCAAAAATAAGACTGGGTCTTATATTAATTTTTGCTCCAACAAATGCATTAGGGCTTATTTTCTGGTTAGGGCTTATTTTAGGGAAAATATGGTACTAAATGCATCCTTTTTTTTTTTTTTTTAAATTTGATTTATATGCCGCTCTTCTCCAGAGACTCAGGGCGGCTTACAATGCATTAAGCAATAGCCTTCATACTTTTGTATATTTTATACAAAATCAGTTTATTGCCTCCACAATCCGGGTCCTCATTTTACCTACCTTAGAAAGGATGGAAGGCTGAGTCAACCTTGAGCCTGGTGAGATTTGAACGTGCAGTAATTGCAGGCAGCTGATGTTAATAACAGTGCTTTAGTCTGCTGCACTACCAGGGCTCTATTGATTTGGCTGACAATCTTAACTGGGGCTTATTTTGGGGGTAGGGCTTATATTACGAGCATCCTGAAAAATCATGCTAGGACTTATTTTCCAGTTGGATCTTATTTCTGGGGAAACAGGGTATAATAGGCATGTTGTTAAACAGTCACATTGTTTACCTGTTTGCCCTGATGCCGAAAAAACTCGCCGGCGTTCTCGATTACAGCTTCATCCGTGAGCTGGCTGTATGGCTGTTCTTGGCACAGCATTAGAATCTCCCACAGCGTAACTCCAAATGCCCAAACGTCACTGGCCATGGTGAACTTACCCTGAGGGGAGGGAAAAAAATGACATTCCTGGATTTATTAAACCAGTTTTACAACATGTTTCAACCTTTGAGGGCTCTGGTCAGGGCAAGCCGGAAAAACAAATCGAAAATATAAAATCCCAAGTAAAAAAACATCACAACAGCTTCCACGACTCATAGGGGCTGAAAGTGCTGCTGCTTTTTTTTTCCTGGAAGGCCTAACCTTAACAATAACAGATTTGGAAGGGACCTTGGAGGTCATCTAGTCCAACCCCCTCCTCTCGCAGGAGACCTGTACTAGGGATTCGAACCGCCAAACTGCCGACCTTTCTGATCGACAAGCTCAGTGTCTTAGCCACTGAGCCACCTACTATAACTTCATTAAGATAGGCTATAATAAGATAAACATTGCAAGTCTGATTATTTTTTTCTTCCTCTTACTCTTATACCTACAGGGAATATATGTCCTTTATTATAAAGGACAGTGCTTGATTTCAGAAAGCTGACCTTTATCTATTTATTTTCTTGGTGCTGCTCTTGAATGTTCCTTTATAAAGCAAAGTTATAAACATATATACAATTTTTTGTATAACGTAAGCAATTTTTTAAAAATCCTAATGAACCTCTTTTAGATTTGCTCTTTTTCAGGTCTGTCCTTTTTTTTTCAGCACTATCATACCTTCAAATTGTTGCTAGTCAGGACTGTCATTAAGCGAGGACTACCTGTGTTTGAAGCTCGTCACTTCACACACTCACCATGAGAATGCACTCCCAAGCCATCCAGCGGATCGGGAGCACAGCTCGGCCTTGGATGCGATAATAATCTCCGGCATAGAGGTTCCGGCTCATGCCGAAGTCTGCGATCTTGATGGTGAAGCCTTCACCTACCAGGCAGTTTCGGGTTGCCAAATCCCGGTGCACAAAATTGAGGGAGGCAAGGAACGCCATTCCTGAGGCTATCTGAGCCCCTAAATGGACCAAAGTGGGATAGCTGAGAAGTGGGGGGAAAGGAAGAAAAAATGGCAAGAATGTTAATTTAAAAAATGTGTATCTCACTCTCTGCCCCTCTACAAGAGCAAATACAGGTAGTCCTTGAGTTATGTTGCTCAAAATTTATGTTGCTACGTGAAACACTTGTTAAGTGAGTTTGCCTCGTTTTACGGCTTTTCTTGCCACAGTTGTTAAGTGTATCACCGCAGTTCTTAAGTTAGTAACACGGTTGTGAAATGAACCTGGCTTCCCCATTGAACTTTGCTTGTCATAAGGTCACAAAACGGGATCACATAACCTCAGGACACTGCAGCCGTCATAAATAGGAACCAATTGCCAAGGATCTGGATTTTGATCATGTGACTGTGGGGATGCTGCAACGGTCATAAGTGTGAAAAATGGCCATCAGCCACTTTTTTCAGTGCTGTTGTTAACTTTGGTCACTAAATGAACTGTTGTAAGTCGAAGACTACCTGTGCAGAAGATATTCCCACCAGGCATTGGGACAGTGCTTGGTACTTAAACCAAGCAAGCTAAAATACAAAGGAATCAGAGCGAAGCCATCTCAAGATTTTAATGATCCACTAAATTCAGTGAAACATTATCACCTCACATTCTCAACCTTTTTTCCTAGTGAAATGGGCACTTCCATCTCTGGATTTTTTTTTTTCAGGATTTCCAAGCTAAAATCCATCTTGTTGAGTTTCAAATGCTTCTTTTAAAATATGAGCCATTTCTGAGCTCTTTAGAGATGAAAGGCATCAGCATTTACGCAGCGGTTTAAGAGTCAATGGCTATATTTATTACCTTTCTATCAGTGGTGGAATTCAAATAATTTAAAAACCAGGGTTTTTTTGTTTTTTTTTTAATTTGATTTATATGCCGCCCTTCTCCGGAGACTCAGGGCGGCTTACAGTGCATTAAGCAATAGCCTTCATCCTTTTGTATATTTATACAAAGTCAGCTTATTGCCCCCATAACTGGGTCCTCAATTTACCTACCTTAGAAAGGATGGAAGGCTGAGTCAACCTTGAGCCTGGCGAGATTCGAACCTGCAGTAATTGCAGGCAGCTGGTCTTAATAACAGGGTGCTTTAGACCACTGTACTACCAAGGCTCTTCACAGTTCTCTGCCCTAATGACCGACTGGGTGGGTGTGGCTAGGGGGTGTGACAGGCAGCACTCGGCCTCCTGCAACTCCCCCCCACGAGAGGGAGGCCGCACCCCCGCACCCCATTTTGGGCCTAGTAGGCCTCCCTGCAGCCTCCTGGGAGCAAAAATGGGGTGCGTGCGGACTCCTAGAAGGGGCGGGGCAGGGCCAGCCAGCAATTTAACTACCGGTTCTCCAGAACTGGCCAGAACCGGCTGAATCCCACCACTGCTTTCTATGTGAGTTTTTGGTGACGTTAACCCTCTTTTTATCAACATGGTCGCCAAGGTGCCATAAAAAAGAATTACATAATTATTGCTGAAGTGTTGGTCACAATTCCCAGTAGTGTTAGGTGTCACTATATGCTTTTACAGTATAGTGACATTTAACACGACCGGGAATTGTGACTTAACAATAATTACGTGATTCTATTCTGTGGCATCGGGGTGACCATTTTGAGAAAAAGAGGTTAACATCACCAAAACCTCTCTGACACAAATCTCTCTTTAGGTTTTGAAATCAATCTGAAAACAAAAGTGTTGGGGAAGTTTATGAAAAGAGCTAACACGGCACAGGGAAAGGAATTAAACCTAAAATGATAAAATAATTGAGAATGAAACTGAAGTGGGGAAAAAATGCTGGAAGAGGATTTCAGAAATTTGGAATAGGTACCTGATGGTTGGTCTCCCATTGGGGCTGCCACCCAGCTTGTCTTCCAGCTCATGTCCACTCAGGAACTGGTTGAGGTCCCCATTCTCCATGTACTCTGTGATCATACACAGCGGATCGTCCCGCACGCACACACCCAACAATCTCACAATGTTAGGGTCCTTCAGGCGAGACATGATCTTCACCTCCTTCAGGAAATCATTCCTGTGTGGACAACAAAAGACATGGACATGGAGATGAGGAAGGTAGTTGACAGGTCTCAAGAGAGGACATGTGGCTCAAATGATTTATTCGTTCCCATTTTTTTCCCTCAACCATCAAAAATCCCCTCATTTTTGCCACCGAAGCACCGTGGCAATTTGCAAAGTACAATACAGTCTTCCTATGAATGTAAACATATTGATTATGTGCCGTCAAATTGGTGTCAACTCTTAGCAACCACAAAAATAGATTTTCTCTGTGATGGTCTGCCCCTAACCTGATTATCCAGGTGTTGTTATGATGCCCCTAATACAGTGGTTCTCAACCTGTGGGTCGGGACCCTTTGGGGGTCGAACAACCTTTCACAGGGGTCGCCTAAGACCATCGGAAAACACATATTTTCAATGGTCAATGGAATAATTTTATGGTTGGGGGTCACCACAACATGAGGAACTGTATTAAAGGGTCGCGGCATTAGGAAGGTTGAGACCCACTGCCCTAATACCACTGTAACTAAGTCCATCCCCTTTGCTGCCGATTGTCCTCATCTTCCCTTTCCTTCCATTTATAGTGAAGTTATTAAGACAGAGTCTGTCTGTATGTTTTGAAATGCTTCCTCCCAATTTCTCCACACCTGGGCTAAACTCCCTTTTGTGAAATAAACTATTATCAGGTTCCTCCTATGCTATCTCTTATTGTTTATGTCTGTATTTTCTTCCATTCATTTCCCAGCTTCCTGATAATCTCTAACACTTCCTGATATAAGTATACAGGTAGTCCTCAACTTACGACCACAATTGGGAACTTCCATTACTAAGCAATGTAGTTACTGAGTGAGAGGCACCCTATTTTACAACACTTTTGCTGTAATTGTTAGCAAATCACAGAGCCGTTAAGCATAATCCCCCATTTGCTTGTTAGACTCCATGTCAGGGTTCCAAGTAATAGATCTATATCAAGCAAAACTTAGCAAAGAGCCTGGTGGCATAGCAGACTAAAGCACTGTTATTAACATCAAGCTGTCTGCAATTACTGTAAGTTCAAATCTCACCAGGCTCAGCCTTCCATCCTTTCTAAGGTAGGTAAAATGAGGACCCAGATTGTGGGGGCAATAAGCTGATTTTGTATAAAATATACAAAAGTATGAAGGCTATTGCTTAACGCATTGTAAGCCGCCCTGAGTCTCCAGAGAAGGGCAGCATATAAATCAAATTAAAAAAAAACAAAAAACTCCAAGGCAGGTAGATTCCTCAAAGGATAGCTAGGAAGGTCACCAATGGTGATCGTGTGACCCTAGGACACTGCCAAGCACCCGAATCACTATCACTGGGACATTGTCAGAGTCATAAACGTGAGCACCAGTCGTAAGTCACTTTTTCAGTGCAGTCATAACTTCGAACAGTCACGAAACAAATGGCCATAAGTCAAGGACTATTTGTATTGAAGTAGGCATTTCAGTAATGAAAGCTGAATTTACGATTGGTATCAAAGTTAACCCTAGGGAATTATCTGACAGAACGCTGCCTTTCGAAGTTTGTGGCAACATACTCCTTTCAAATGACCTCCCAGGTAAAGCCTAAATGAGAAATCTTGAGCATATAAATAAATGGGAAGCTCAAATTAATGCAGAGAGGGGTTTCTACTTCCTTAAAGTCAGCAGTCACAAACCAATTCCACTGAGACGTATGGGCAAAGCTAGAGCTAACGTTTAAAACAGGTAAATAAAATATTAAGTCCATCAAGGCTGAGAACATTCTATTATGGACATTTACGTCAACATTTATCTGGAGTGAATCAGGTTAGGAACACATGGCATAACTTATCATTCCTGAACCTGAACACTTTTCTGACATGTGGGTTTCAACCCCAGAAGTCCTAACAATGGTCAAACAGATTAAGAAGTTCTAGTTTTTAAAACAGCCCAACTTTGACCATTGACATGACTTCCGGCATTGAAAACAACACATCAGAAAGCTGTGCAGGATGCTGAAGAATAGCAATAACACTTAAGACTTTTATTTCCGCTTCACAGTGCTTTACAGCCTTCTCTAAGCAGTTTTACAGAGTCAACATATGGCCCCCAACAATCTGGATCCTCATTTTACCGACCTCGGAAGGATGGAAGGCTGAGTCAACCTTTAGGCTAGTGAAATCCGGACTGCCAAATTGCAGGCAGCCGGCAGTCAGCAGAAGTACTGCATTGTAACCACTGCGCCACCACGGTTCTTGGTCAGGTTGGCAAAAGGTATACTGTTCTGCCCCAGCTCCGGATTCCCGAGGATATTGACACACACCAACGGTCCTTATCAAGTTTATTAAGTAGCAAGAATAAACCAAAGTCCGGCAAAGGTTGGCAACCAGCCCAGAAAGCAAGATACGATAAGACTTTTCCAAAAAATGCTCTGATGATAATTACAAGTTGTTTCTAGCAAGAAACTTATTAACGGCGTGTGACTTAAATAGGCTAAGGGAGTGGCCAATTATCCTCAAGCCTTACTCCTCCTCCTGAGTAGCCACTCCTGCCTTTTGGCAGCCCTGCGTGCTCGAGCATTGAGGAGAGGCTCCTCCACTTCGCTCTCTCCACTTGAAGGAGCCTCTGGAGGTTCTGAAGGCCCTGGCTGAGTCTCTGCCTCTGGCACCACATCCTCTTCAGCCTCCTCGCTGTCCGACACGAGTGCCGGCTGCACAGGCTGCTGGCGCGACACCACACCAGCCTCCTCGTCGTCGGGAACAGTCACAATCCGCGCAGGCCGCTGGCGGGCCACAACATATACAGTGGGTTGTGCTTTAACAATGCATATTTTTATTTCCATCCTCAGGCACCCACCTGGCATTCTTGGTGGCATCCGAGCGTAGAATCTTCACAGCAACCAGCAGAGGGCGTCCCTTGCGCACGTTGAAAGGGAACTCCAAGCTTGGCAGATCTTGGGGGTTCTCCACCTCACACAGGTGGACCTTTCCAGGAGAGAGAGGAAACAGGGAACCATTATGGAATCATAAAGGACACAGTGAATAATGGCACAGTGAATGCAGTAAGGCATTGCTCTCAACCTTGGCAACTTGAAGATGTCTGGACTTCAACTCCCAGAATTCCCCTGTCAGCTAACACAAATGTTGGAGGAAATGTTTTCATTGGCCACAATCCATCTGCCACGCATTTCTTTCTAACACGTGGCAGCGTGGCGGAATATAATGCAGGTAGTCCTCGACCTACGACCACAATTGAGCCCAGAATTGATGTTGCTAAGTGAGAAATTTGTTAAGTGAGTTTTGCCCCATTTTACCACTTTTCTTGCCACGGTTTGTTAAGTGAATCACTGCAGTTGTTAAATTAGTAACACAGTTGTTAAGCGAATCTGACTTCCCCATTGACTTTTGCTTGTCAGAAGGTCGCAGAAGGGGATCACATGATACTGCAACCGTCATAAATAGGAACCAGTTTTCAAGCATCCGTATTTAAGCCATGTGACCATGGGGATGCTGCAAGGGTCGTAAGTATGAAAAATGGTCATAAGTCACTGTTTTCAATGCCGCTGTAACAGTAGTGGGTTTCAAATTTTTTTACTACTGGTTCTGTGGGTGTGGCTTGGTGGCATGTCAGGGGAAGGATACTGCAAAATCTCCATTCCCTCCCCAATCCAGGGGAAGGTTACTGCAAAATCCCCATTTCCTCCCGATCAGCTGCGACTCGGGAGGCAGAGAATAGATGGGGGTGGGGCCAGTCAGAATTTTTACTACCAGTTCTCCGAACTAAGGAGAAATTTCCTAACAGTGCGAACAATTAATCAGTGGAACAACTTGCCTCCAGAAGTTATGAATGCTCCGAACACTGGAGGTTTTTAAGAAGAGGTTGGATAACCATTTGTCTGAAGTGGTGTAGGGTTTCCTGCGTAGCAGGGGGTTGGACTAGAAGACCTCCAAGGTCCCTTCCAACTCTGTTACTTCTATTCTATTCTATTCTATTTGATTTGATTCGATTCGATTCGATTCGATTTTGGGGTCAATGTAGAGCTCCACCCTAGTCTCTAGTCCTGAAGTCCCAAAGGTGCTTTTTCAAGAGGCAACTGGACTTTCTTTGTTTTTCTTTGAAGACGTTTCGCTTCTCATGAGAAGAAAGTTGCCCCTTGAAAAAGCATCTTTGGGAAAACCATAACTGGATGACTGAGAATCTCCATAGACATCTAGTCCTGAAGATGAGGTGGTTAGTGGCAAGACATAGTTGAATGGTCAGCCACCGGTGCAAGTGGCCTTGATTGTCTCTATTATTGCTATTATTACCTATTATTTGTAGTACTATTAAAGTATATTTTATTATTTACATATAATAAACATTTGGAAGTTGATGAACAATCTGAACTTCATGAAGGGGTCGATGAACTAAGCATTTGGAAATCCCTGGTCTACGAGAACAAATCCATGAAGTTTTCTTGATCTTTTTGGAAATAGCTTCGCAATATTTTTCTTCCTAGATCTGAAAGGATGACTGAACCAAAGTCACCGAGCTTGGCTTTGTCCCTAAGGCAGGATTAGAACTTGTCTGGTCTCCTGGCTTCAAATCCAACACCTAAATCCTCTACATTAAACTGATTTGGAAAGTTTGATTGCCTGGTTATGTGCCATTAACACAGAATTAACTCTTCCTGACCACATAGATACACCTTGTCCAGAATGTTCTGGCCCTAGCCTGACCCTTCAAGTCTTCCAACAGGGCACCCATCGCTACTGGCTGTCCTCTTCTTCCTCTACCTTCAGGGGTGAAATCCAGCAGGTTCTGACAGGTTCTGGAGAACCGGTAGCGGAAATTTTGAGTAGTACAGAGAACTGGCAAACACCATCTCTGGCTGGCCCCAGAGTGGGGTGGGAATGAAGATTTTGCAATATCCTTCCCCCAGGAGTGGGGAGGGAATGGGGATTTTGCAGTATCCTTCCCCTGCCACGCCCACCACATCCACAGAACTGGTAGGGAAAGTTTTGAATTTCACTCCTGTCTACCTTTCATCTTTCCCAACCTTTCAAACTTATAGAGATGAGCTTTCTTCACGCAATGTGTCCAAAATCTAATAATTTGAGCCTGATTATTTGTGCCTTGAGTTAGAACTGTAAACTGTGGCTTAGAGATGCCACAATTAATTCTGAAGCATTGGTGGCATCTACCATCATGCCTCTATTACTTTACTACTCACTGGAAATGTGTGTCTGTTCTGATCTTCCCCAAAAAGCACGAAGCAGAATCCTGGTCCTGACAAAACCCCTTTTATTAAACGAATGTGAATTCCTCTCATTCACATTCATCAAAGGCCTGGCAAACAGTCTTTCAAAGGTGAATTTATGACCACAGACCTTATCTAGCTTGGAAAGCTGCCATGTAAATATTTTCCAAATACAATGCTGTGCAAGGAAAGACTTGGCACAGAGTCTCTGAGATTCACAGACAGATCTTTGCACTCCTGAATCAACTGACCGAATGAATTGTTTCCTGCAAAAAAACCACTCCCTTTTCACTCCTTTTTTATTTCCTATGGGAGGGGCCATTCATCGTCCACCTGTGGCTTTATTTCCAAGTCAACCCTGATTTCTTAGCTGTTTTTTTCTTCTGGCAGCTCTGCGCATGCACACACTGGGAACAGGCTTCAGCTGTTCCTCTGCCTCACTGCTGTCTAGCTCCGGAGGCAGCTGATAACTGCCAGATGGCCTTGGCCCCCTCTCTGCCTCCGACGCAGAGCTCTCGTCCGAGCCTTCCCCAGCCTCCAGGACTGGTTCACGTTCTTCCCCAACCTCCTCACTATCTGACTCTACTGCTAGCTCTGCTGGCCGCTGGCGGGCCACAACAGTATCTTACTTTTCCACTTCCACAATCCAACCTCTGCTGCAGGCGAAACTGGACTTACCTCTCCAAACTGCCCTTCGCCCAACTTCTCCTTGAAGATCAGCCGTTCCCGGGGAAATTCGCCTACTGCCATGTCCTTGCTGGCAAGGGCATCTACCGCAACAGCAGGGACAGCATATGTGTTCCCTCCAGTCACTCCCTGCAGGTTGATGATGTCGGCTTCGGCGTAATGTGGCACGTTGTTCTGGAAACTTGGCTGGCTGGCAGCCAGTTCTGGTTCCATGTAGTCAATCCCACACTCTGCAGAAGAAGAAGAAAAAGACAAAAGGAGAATCAGTTCAGAGGTGGAGAAAGGAACATGGAGGACTTGCCCAACCCCTAACGTGCTGCAACTCATAGGCATCCAGCAGCCATCAGAGCCAGCCGGAGCTCTGCTTTGGACACAAGGAGTCCAGATATCACATCCTGCTCCAACCGCATTCTCCCTCCCCACCACTCCAGAAGCGGCAACATCGCAGAACCTGCAAAGCGGAAGGTGGTATTAGCCATGCACAGGGCCGACAAGAGGGAGATGTACAGGGGGGGGGGACAGACATGGCGAAGAAAGAGAGAGGGAGACAGACGGACAGACAGCACCCCCTGGCAGGCGAGGGAGAGGAACTGCAGAAGGCAGGATGTTCTGAGCAGGGAGTGAGGTCACCCGGGGTTCCCAGCCGCACCGCACAAGCTCAGCGCCCTCCTTACCATTGGTGTTGATTGGCTTAACCTGGCTGGGTGGCGGGAAAGCAGGCCTTCCCATTGGCTGGGCATAGGTGGCCAGGAGGAGATGGTAAGCCGGGTTGCTGAGCAGCAGAGCTGTCGGGAGAAGGGGGAGGGAAGGAGGGAGGGGAGGGGGAGGGGGGGAGTGGACAAACAGACGGATGAGGAACGGACAGACGGATGGAGAGATGGATACGAAAGGTAAGGCGTGACGCAGAAAACAGGCAGCACTTTAGGGATTCCTGCCCCTCTTTTAAGCTTCACATCCCAAACAGGGTAGCAAGAGACGCAGACACCAAATGACATGCGGTTTAATGATGGGAACCAGCCATCATTAGTATCGCTGGACAGAAGGAAGCGACCCAGAATCCTGACATCTCCAGACGGCCTCACCTAATGGCAGGTCTAAGCCCAAAGACGGCCAGTGACGGCCAATCGAGTCCAGTTCTTTATTTGCTTATGCCTAACAGACAGAATCTTGCCAGACTAAAGCTCTACAGGGAATCCTCGACTTACAACTGTTCACAGTTACAGCAGCACTGAAAAAAAGTGACTGGCCCCCGCACTTATGACCGTCGCAGCATACCCATGGGCAACCAGCATTGTATTCATGAGGGTTGCAGCAATCATATGATCGCTATTTGTGACTTCCCAGCTGGCTTTGACAAGCAAACTCAATAGAGGAAGTCAGATTCACTTAACAACTGCGTGATTCATTTAACAAATGCAGTGATTTGCTTAACAACGGTGGCCAAAAAAAAAGGTCATAAAAATCAGGCGCAGCTACCTTAACCACCACCTCGCTTAACAAAAGAAGTTCTGGTCCTAACTCTGGTCATAAGCCGAGGACTATCTGTAACTTTCTAAGATGTATCTGGGAGATTATAGGGCAGGGGTGCCTAAATTTAGCGACTTTAAGACTTGTGGACTTCAACTCCCAGAATTCCTCAGCCAGTCCACAAGTCTTAAAATTGCCAATGTTGGACATCCCTGTTCTACGCAATGTGGTTACCCTCAACTTTTTCATCCTTCCCTTATCCAGTTCAGGGCTGAGGAGTCTCTTATTTTAGGTCTCTTTCTGGAATGGGTTACCTCCACGGGTGAAATCCAGCAGGTTTCGACAGGTTCTGGAGAACCGGTAGTGGAATTTTTGAGTAGTTCGGAGAACTGGCAAATACCACCTCTGGCTGGCCCTAGAGTGGAGTGGGAATGGAAATTTTGCAAACTTCTTCCCCTAGAGTAGGGTGGGAATGGAGATTTTGCAGTATCCTTCCCCTGCCACGCCCACCAAGCCATGCCCACCAAGCCACGCCCACAAAACCAATAGTAAAAAAAATTGAATTTCATCACTGGTCACCTCCTCCGTGGGAAACTTGTGCGACTGCGGAAGTTCTCCCCACTCCTTCTCTAGCTGCACATTCCATTACACCTGCTTGTGTCTTCTTCAAAGGAATTAACCAAGGTTGGATTTCCTCAATCTGGCTCTCTCCAAAAGTACCAGGCTACAAATCCCCACTACCCCACCTCAGGATAATGGATATTCCAGTCAAAAACTTCTAGAGGCCGCAAAGCTGAGGAAACCCATCCCAGAACTTAAACTCCTGTTGCTCTTCCTTCCCTACTCTTCCTCCATCTTTCCAACCATTGGAAGAAAGCAAACCATAAAATGACTCAAGGACCTCCAGGAGAAAGAATTAAAAACCTTCTTCAAGTGCATGTGAAATAATGCAACCATTACTTGGCAGACTCTAGATTTCAGAAAGAAATGACTGAAAGTTCCCTCACAAAAAAAAAAAATGTAATAACCTGCATGAAGCTGAGGAGAAATATTTTGGAGAAATTATCTCCTGGGTTTACCCGTGCTCTCTTCCTCATATTAAGCATCAAGTGAAATCTTCTTCAATAGCATGAAATAGTAGGATCCCCAAGCTTTACGATCCACAAAGTCGACCATTTCACCATCTACCTACACCATGGGAGTAACTAGCACTTCGGAGAAGGCCTCATGTTTTGGGCTGGGTAGTACAATATGAAATGGAGAAAGAAAGAAAAAAACACCACAATTTTTATGAACTGTGGTGGAAAAGAGACTCAGTAACAGTAACAGAGTTGGAAGGGGCCTTGGAGGTCATCTAGTCCAACCCCCTGCTCACGCAGGAGACCTGCACTAGGGATTCGAACCGCCGAACTGCTGACCTTTCTGATTGACTCCATCTGCCAGAAGTCAGGGTTTGCTCTTCTACAGATAGTCCTTGACCACTATTTGGAGTGGAATTTCCACCCTAAATTGCTGCAGTCATAAGTCAAGTAGGACCTGACTTAACGACCATTTTTACAACGGTCATTAAACAAATACATGGCTGTTTCACTGTGGTTGTAAGCATGGACCGGTTATTCCAAAAATTGCAATCACATAACCACAGGACCCTGCAGTCGGTTGTGAAACTGAGCCAGTTGCTAAGCACCTGAGTTACAATTGTGTCACTATGAGAGTGATGCGACGGTCATAAGTGCAAGAACCAGTCTTAAGTGCAAGGACTTTTTCCAACATCATCATAATGAGCGGTTGCAAAACAAATGGTTGTAAGTCGAGGACTACCTGACATTCTTAATTTTCTCTTTTACTTCCCTTACCTGCGTATCCTAATCAAATTTAAGCAAACCTACTTGCTACGAAGAATTAAAAAAAATATTCCCTGAGATTTTTCCATTTCAGACTATAGGTGGCATTGTGCTACTGTTTTCTTCCAAGAAAAAAGATACAAAGATACCTCCTTGCATTTAGAAACTAAGCACATCAGGAAGAAACAAAGCTTTCTTTTCTTAAGTGCTAGTTCTCCGTTTGCAGTTTGCAGTATTGAAAAAGCAGCCCATAAATCAGCATAATTTAGGAGCAGGTTATAACTCGATTTTGCTAGAAATTTAAACTTCCCTTTTAAATGAAACCAACCATTAACAAAACATTAATGGACTGCTTCCTTTTTTTTTTTTCCTTTCTTGATTCGCAATTCACAGCTTGCAGTTTATAACAAAAGCTTACTTTTGGTATTTTTGACACAAGCAAGGAAATACAAACACACACACACTCACACTAAATGCACAACAATAGGGATTTTGAGGGAAGAAATGGTGAATTGAAGATAGTTCCATTAAAAGTGGAGCTGACCAGCTCTTTGTAATTACTCTCCGGACAAGGAGAGGACTGGCGATCACCCATAAGAATTCTTTACAACTGCTCCTCGCATGGAGACAGCAAGATAGCGGTTTCCATAGGTTCAGCACTCAGGGAAATGAGGAAATAGCCATCTTGTTCAAATCATCGTCAACACCTTCAAAAGAACACTGGATTTGAATACTTCTTTTCTAATCGATTTTGGAAATTGTGAATTTTCACCTATTAAGTAACCTTTGAATCTACATGTTTTACGGCACTGGGCGAGTTCCTTTCAATGCTTAATGAGAGAAGTTTTAAATACAAGTTTAAGATCTTTTTTAAAATAAATAAATAAATACCAAAAAAGGTGATTAGATCTTTGATTTTGGAAAATTACAAACATATTCATGGTTCTGATGGATTTGAAATACGATTTTGGAATTAATTATAAGAATTCTTGCATTGATTGATTGATTGATTGGGTTTGTTTTGAATTCTCTTTTTAAAAAACTTGTCAGGATGAAACTTTGAAGTCTGAACACTAGAGGAAATCAGAAGGAACTAAATATTACAATGAAAGGAGAAACAACGTTTAGAATAGGCTGTCCTTAAAAGATGTTATGAAAGAGGAAGAAGTTTTACCTGTGACTAGATTGAGATTGATCTGAAAGTGGATTTTAAAAAATGATAGGCTACAAAAATGATATGAAAAAACTGTTATATTGGACATACAAAAGAAATCAATTAGTTATAATAATTAAAAGGGATATACAGGTAGTCCTCAATTTACAATGATTTGTTTAGTGACCGCCAGAGGTGGATTTCACATATTCTTATCACCAATTCGCCCCACACACGCATGTGCGCCAGAGGTGAAATCCAGCAGGTTCTGACAGGTTTTGGAGAACCTGTAGCGGAAATTTTGAGTAGTTCGGAGAACAGGTAGTAAAAATTCTGACTGGCCCCGCCCCATCTATTCTTTGCCTCCCGAGTCCCAGCTGATCAGGAGGAAATGGGGATTTTGCAGTAACTTTCCCCTTGAGTGGAGTGGGAATGGAGATTTTACATTATCCTTCCCTGCCATGGCCACCAAGCTACTCCCACCAAGCCACGCCCACAGAACCGATAGTAAAAATGTTTGAAACCCACCACTGATGCGCGCCTTCGCACATGCACCTGGCCTCGGAAACATGGCTAAATAGGACGGCATTACACCAGGGCGGGGGCAGGCCCAATTGCAGTCGCTGTTACCGATTCACCTCAACCGGTTCGAAACGGCTGAATACCACCACTGGTGACCACTCAAAGTTACAATGGCATCAAAAAAAAAGTGACTGATGAGCGTTTTCCACGTTTACGACTGTTGCATCATCTCCCATGGTCATGTGATCAGCCGAAGAGATTGTAGAAAAAATGCTTTTAAAAGGCTCTGACGATCGCAGCTGAGCCGCACGATCATCAGAGGCTTTTTTTTTTTTAACTTTTAAGAGCATTTTTTTGGCCAAAGAAAAAATGCTTTTAAAAGTAAAAAAAAAAAACGCCTCTGATGATCGCACGGCTCAGCTGGGCATGGGGGGGGCAGGGATTTTTGCTATCGGTTCTCTGAACCACCCGCCGCCATCGCTACCGGATCAAGCGATCCGGTCCAAACCGGGAACATTTCACCCCTGCCTTGGAAGGATAGTAAAGCACCCTTGAGCCCTGTCAGGCTCAAACTCCCGGCTGTGGGCCGAATTTGCCTGCAATAACTGCAACTTTAAACAAAAGAATTATACATAAAAGAATTCCACCAACAGCCTCTCACCAGAATTCTCGGCACTGTGAGGAAGATCTGGGAGTTTCATGCGTGCTCTGTTGGGTTCCTGGTATTCTGTTTCCCCCGAAAGGATCCGCTCGTATCGGTTGGAGTGCCTGTTGGAGCTCATTGTGTTGTTGATGACAATCGTGTCGTTCGGTGCAGAGAGGTGGACAGTGAGGTCATCGTCAGAGATGCGGCGTTGAGCCTACGCAACAAGGTTGTTGAGAAACAGTGAAGATTATTAAGGTCCAGATGGCAGTTTTCATCCCCCACCTTTGAAAAACACTTCTTTTTCCAAATACCAAAGGGGCTTTTCCAAAAGGCAAGCGAACTCTCTTGATTTTTTTTTTACTTGAAAAAGTTTTGCTTCTCATTCAAGCTGCTCAGTTCTGAAGAAGAACTGAAGAAGAAGCTTCTCAGATGAGAAGTGAAACATTTTCAAGGAAGAGAAAACGAGAAAGTCCACTCGCCGCTTAGAAAAACCCCTTTGGGATAACTTGTCGGAGAAATTCATGACTGGCAGAGACATGGTAACAAGGTCAGCCAATGAATAGGCATAGCAAACTAAGCCAGCCAATGAGGACTGTTTGGAAACTGAAACTGGAAGGAGCCTGGGCGTGGCTCTGTAGCTCTCCGTCTGTGCAAAAAAGGAACGAAACTAGTCTGCTCTCTGAATTGAAACTGAAACTCATCTCTGCTGTTCTCTCCTCTGCCTGTTGTTTTTTGCCTGTAACTCTCTACCACGTTGGAAGAATCTGCTGTTGGTATTGTATGTGTTATTATGTATATAAAGAGAAGTTAATGAATCCTGCTGAATCAGTTATCTGTGTGTGCTTTCTGGATGTGATTTCTGCAACGACCTCTGATACAACTATGACCTGGACAATTGAAAATCTTTTATAGACACTTATTCTACCAAAGCTGTTGTTGGAAAGAAGGGAAGCCCCCATATCTAGCACTTTCTTCATTCTCATTGCACCTTAAATGGTTATTCCGACCCTACTTGGATCGGGAGGCTCTCCTCACAGTCACTCATGCCCTTGTCACCTCACGGTTAGATTATTGCAACGCGCTCTACATGGGGCTACCCTTGAAAAGTATTCGGAGACTACAGTTGGTCCAGAACGCAGCCACGTGAGCTGTCGTGGCTGCACCTAGGTACACCCACATTACACCAATTCTCCACGAGCTGCACTGGCTCCCTATTGGTCTCCGGTCACAATTCAAGGTGTTGGTTATTACCTTTAAAGCCCTACATGGCTCAGGGCCAGGTTATCTTCGAGACCGCCTTCTGCCGCATAGCTCCCAGCGACCGGTAAGATCCCACAGAGTTGGTCTCCTCCAGGTCCCATCAGCTAAACAATGTCGGTTGGCGGGCCCACAGGGGAGGGCCTTCTCTGTGGCTGCCCCAGCTCTCTGGAACCAGTTACCTCCTGAGGTCCGGACCGCCCCCACCCTATTGGCCTTCCAAAAAGCGACGAAGACCTGGCTTTTCCGGCAGGCCTGGGGCCGTTGATCTCGCTCTTGTGATCTGGCGAGATCCGGCCATGAATGGTGTGAATGAGTTTTTAATGTTTTTAATGTTTCAATGTCTTTTTATAATGATTTTTTTAAATGTATTGTGAGCCGCCCTGAGTCTTCGGAGAGGGGCGGCATATAAATTTAATTAATTAAATTTAATTAATTAAATTAATTCCAGCCTCTCTGGTGGCTTCCTAGGACACCTCAGAAGCTTCTGCTGAAGGCTCTTGAGGTCGAGACCAAGGATACATCACCCTACCAGACGTCATTTTAATTAAATGTTATTTTATCTTGCGTCCAAAATCTAAAAATGTTGCCCAGTAGTATCCAGGATGTTGGATAGTAGTAGTCAACATGAGCATGGAGTATTACAGCATCACAACACAAAAACCCCACCCCTTTTCTATACTTCACAATATTGTACACACAGGAGTGGAGCTTACAGCGTGATGCTGCGACTTTAATTTCATTATTCTGATGAAAGCTGCAAGACCTGAGGGTAGCAGTGATGGAACACAGGTGTTTCTTAGAGAGGCAACTGGACTTCCTTGTTTTTCTTTGAAGACGTTTCGCTTCTCATCCAAGAAGCGTCTTCAGCTCTGACTGGATGGAAGGATCCGCCATCCAGTCAGAGCTGAAGAAGCTTCTTGGATGAGAGGCCACGATGTAAAAAAAGATGTTGAGACTCTAGAAAGAGTGCAGAGAAGAGCAACAAAGATGATTAGGGGACTGGAGGCTAAAACATATGAAGAAAGGTTGCAGGAACTGGGTATGTCTAGTTTAATGAAAAGAAGGACTAAGGGAGACATGATAGCAGTGTTCCAATATCTCAGGGGCTGCCACAAAGAAGAGGGAGTCAAGCTATTCTCCAAAGCACTTGAAGGCAGGACAAGAAGCAATGGATGGAAATTAATCAAGGAGAGAAGCAACCTAGAACTAAGGAGAAATTTTATGACAGAACAATGAATAAGTGGAACAACTTGCCTCCAGAAGTTGTGAATGCTCCAACATTGGAAATTTTTAAGAAGAGGTTGGATAACCATTTGTCTGAAGTGGTGTAGGGTTTCCTGCCTGGGCAGAGGGTTGGACTAGAAGACCTCCAAGGTCCCTTCCAACTCTGTTATTCTATTCTAATGGCGAAACGTCTTCAAAGAAAAACAAGAAAGTCCAGTTGCCTCTTGAAAAAAGCACCTTTGGGACAACCATGACTTAGATGATTGAGAATCCCCATAGACACTGATGGAGCAGAAGACAAATTAGAAAGCTGCTTTGTGCTATTCAGACTCTTATCGTTGTAGCTCTGTAATGTTTCTCTTGACTAACTATGGATGTTTATTGTTTGTTTCTGGGGTTTTTTAGCAGGTGATGCCAGAATCCTTTCCCTGAAGGACTCCTGAGAGAGACTGGAATCTAATCTGATTTCTTTCAAATAAAAAGTTCTACTACATAGTTACTATCTTTTCTTGATCCTTGTGCCATGCTAGAAGACTGGGTGGATTTCTCTATAAATAAATTCCCTCTCATATTGTAAAGTAACAGATGAGAACTCCAGCAGACCTCGGCTGAGAAAAAAAATTCTTAATTCCTTTCAAACAGAGGCCCAATTTTCCTCGAGTCAGCCTATCTTACCTTTCCTAAAATCTTTTGCCAATATTGACGCCAGAGAATGAGAAATATGACAACCAGGAGAAGGAGGATGATGACCACCAAGCAGCCAATCAAAATGGAGGTGTTGCTGTTGTCGTCCTTCGCAATTGGCTGGCCAGATTTCGCTTCGCCCTCGAGATCTTACCAGGAAAGAAGCATAGAAAAAGAAGTTTAGGAACACGTGACTATGTTTTTCTGGTAACTGGTGGTAGTGGAAGAAAATTTAGAGATGCGCTCTCTGATTTGCAAGCTACCCACCTGCCTGGGTGAGGTTCGAGGTGCCGTCGGCTCTGTCATTGAGCGAGGAACCAAGAGCCGGAGAGATGGGAACGTTGCGGCCTGAAGGGTGAGGTGGGGCCACCACTGCCGGATACTGACTTGAAACAACAAGAGAAGGGTCATCCACAACATCTGGATGGGAAGAAAATAGAAAGGGGAATGGGAACAAGGGAAGAGAAAAGAAGGTATCCATCAACTGAGGTGCAAAACCCGGAAAGAAGACACCATATACAACAAAAGCAGGAAGGCCTTGGACAAAATGGCTGGACTTCTATCTTTTTATGGAATGTTATAGGTATATCTTGATGCCACAATGGACCTGGAAAATTTAGCAGTAGTTTCAGTGTGGGGAAATCAGTGGTGAAATCCAAACTTTTTTACTACCGTTTCTGTGGGCATGGCTTGGGGGGCATGGTATGGCTTGGTGGGTGTGGCTTGGTGGGCGTGGCAGAAGAATATTACAAAATCTCCATTCCCTACCCACTCCTGGGGCAAGGATATTGCAAAATCTCCATTCCCACCTCACTCTGGGGCCAGCCAGAGGTGGTATTTGCCAGTTCTCCGAACTGCTCAAAATTTCCGCTACAGGTTCTCCAGAACCTGTCAGAACCTGCTGGATTTCACCTCTGAGGGAAATGGTGATAAGCAGATCCAGAGGATATGCAGGGAGATCGTTTAACCTTTCCTCTCCCGTTTTACAGTTTTTGCTCTGCAAACTCCTTCCTGCTTCTTCCACCCACTGTGAAATTAGGTATGGCACATCAAGGCAACAAGAAGGGCAGATTTAGAACAGATCAGAGAAAGCAATTGTTCTTGCAGCACTTCATCAAAACATGGAATTCGCTGCCGTAAAGTGTAAGTATGCCCACCAGCTTGGACAGCTTTCCAAGGTGGACTGGAGATCTTCACAGAGGACCATCAATGGCTGTGTAGCCGGTAGATATGGGTCAGGAACAATTTGGCCAGCTTGTGGGCTGAGAGGAAACCCGGGAACGCGATGAAGTGGGCCTGCTTGGAAAAGAGACCTATTACTGTCCATATCACCATGTTCCCGTGGCTCTCTGGGAGTTCCACAATGAAATCCATGGCAATTTCCTCCCAGGGCTGAACGGGATCGGCAACGCTGCCATGACATCAAGCAAGGCGGTCACTTCGGCTTCTTGAAGATGCTCCACTTGGCCAATAGGCAGTTCTACTGGCCACAGATGAAGAAGATATTGAGGCCTACCCAGGGGTGAAATCTACTTACCTTCCCTACCAGTTCGGAAGTGCACATGCCGTGCATCACATGCACGCAAGGATCCTCTGCACATGCGCAAACCCTTCTGTACATGTGCAGAGGATAAAAAACAGGTTACTTCCTGTTTAAAACCAGGAAGTAACAACAACTGGGCGGGTGGGCAGAGCTTCGCACTGCCACTGCTACCGGTTCTCCGAACCACCCGCTGCCGCTACCGGTTCACCTGAACCGGGCCAAACCAGTAGCATTTCACCCCTGGGCCTACATCAAAAGCTGCCTGACCTGTGGTTGGGGAAACCTCCAGGTCTGCTACTGCCTGTTGCCAATCTTGTTTGGCAACAGGCTGCTGTTAATAAAATGTTTTCTACTGTATTTTTGGAATTGTAAGTCATCCAGAGTCATTCATTGAGATGGGCAGCTATAGAAATTGACTGATCTTGAAGAACAAAAGGCTTCCTGGGTTGAGGGAACGAAGATCAGAGAAAGAAAGGTGTCTCCATTTCCTATCTGCAAGCACCCCAGAAGCATCTGTGGGCCCATTCATTGGAACAAAGTCCTGCATTGAACCAGCAGGGTTGGTCTTAAGTTTTTGCAAGAGGAAGGCTGGGTTACTGGGGAAAGTTTGGTGATTAAGCAACCTCCCTGCAACCTGCCACTCTCCCATCCCAATGACTGCCCACCCTGCTGTTCCTTGGCCTGGAAAACACAGCAGATGGGTTTTCCCAGATCTGTAACAGATGTCCAGAACATACAGAGGGAGAACAGATTTTGGGGGGGGGGACATTTCTAATAGTATTTCTCGGGAGGTAAATTGGGGGAAAGTCCATGTCATCTCCTAACCAGGCTCCCAGCCCTCCCCCGACACCAGCTGCAAAGCGGAGGTAGTTGAGAATAAATGCCGGAGAATCTGGCTGCTGGTCACAGCTGCAGAGGGTTGATTTTGTTCCCTTCCTTCAGGCACGGAAGGAATGCCCTGCTCTCTTGGCATTGTCTTTTCTCCTTTTCTTCCAGGCAGGACAACAGCTGCAAAATGGCTGGAACAAATGCAAAACTCTCCACAAAGCAATGGGGGTAGGAGGATGGGGGAAGAGAGATTCTCCTCCCTCGGAGGTTTCCTTCTTCCCCCTCCTATCAGTCTTTGAAAAAGGCAATACTGATCTAAGTGGAGTCATCCAGAGGGATATTGTACTTTGAGTGCAATGACAATCAAACTTAAATCTTGCGAAGACTGTCGTCACCGCTACCGGCTCGGGAGAACCGGGCCGAACCGGGAGGAACCCACCACTGATACAAAACCTTTGCCAGACCAATTCTTGAATACAGCTCATCCGCCTGGAAACCACACTGTGTATCAGATATTAACACACGATTGAATGGGTTCAAAGGTATTTCACAAGAAGAGTACTCCACTCCTCTACTCCCAACAGAATCCATTATGCCACCCGACTTGAAATTCTGGGCTTGGGCAATTTGGAACTGCGCCGCCTGCAGTCCAATCTAAGCATAGTACACAAAATTATCTGCTACAACGTCTTACTTGTCAATGACTTCTTCAGCTTCATCCACAATAATACACAGGCAAACAATCGATACAACTTAAGGTACACCGCTCCAAACTCGATTGCAGAAAATACGATTTCAGCAACAGAGTGGTCAATGCCTGGAATGCACTACCTGATTCTGTGGTTTCATCCCCAAACCCCCAAAATGTCAACCTTAGACTGTCTACTGTTGACCTCACCCCATTCCTAAGAGGTCTGTAAGGGGCGTGCATAAGTGCACCAACGTGCCATCCTTCCATCCTTTCTAAGGTAGGTTAAATGAGGACCCAGTTTGTGGGGGCAATAAGCTGACTTTGTATAAATATACAAAAGTATGAAGGCTATTGCTTAACGCATTGTAAGCCGCCCTGAGTCTCTGGAGAAGGGCGGTATATAAATCAAATTTTTGTAAAAAAATGTTCTCCAGAGCTTTCAAAAGTCTCAGATACAGATTTTTCTTTCCCAAGAGGAACACTTTCAAGAGGAAATCATGGAGTGTTGAACCTAGAACATTTGCGTGTAAACTATAGTATTTAGAATAACAGAGTTAGAAGGGATCTTGGAGATCTTCTAGTCCAACCCCCTGCTTAGGCAGGAAACCCTACACCACTTCAGACAAATGGTTATCCAACATCTTCTTAAAAACTTTCAGTGTTGGAGCATTTGCAACTTCTGGAGGCAAGTTGTTCCACTGATTAATAGTTCTAACAATCAGGAAATTTCTCCTTAGTTCTAAGTTGCTTCTCTCCTTGATCAGTTTCCATCCATTGCTTTTTGCCCTGCCTTCAGGTCCTTTGGAGAATAGCTTGACTCCCTTTTCTTTGTGGCAGCCCCTGAGATATTGGAACACTGCTATCATGTCACCTCTACTTTTCATTAAACTAGACATACCCAATACTAGCAACTGTTCTTTATGTTTTATCCGCCAGTCCCCTAATCATCTTTGTTGCTCTTCTCTGTACTCTTTCTTAGAATCTCAACATCTTTTTTAAATCGTGGCGACCAAAACTGGATGCAGTATTACAAGTGTGGCCTTACGAAGACATTATAAAATGGTATTAACACTTCATGTGATCTTGATTCTTTCCCTCTGTTTATGCAGCCTAGAACTGTGTTGACTTTTTTGGCAGCTGCTGCACACTGTTGGCTCATATTTAAATGGTTGTCCTCTAGGACTCCTAGCCAGTATTGTCAGTATGACTGACACTAATGAGTAACAACAATTATGTGACATCTTTGAAGGCTTCATTCTACTTTCCACTTTCGGGTCATTGGCCTCAAGCAATCACCCAGGTCCCAGACCCAACTCACTTGAGAGAAAGGCGATTTCACTGAAGAGCATCCACTCGGCGGCAAAGTAAAAATGGCACTGGACGAACAAGCCGATTCGTCCCTCCAGGGGTATGGTGACAGAGCGAGCACTGGGGTTCCTGACATCCACCGAAAGCTGTAGGGAGACCGGGACAGGCTCCCAAGCTGTGGCAAGGCTGTGCTTGAAGAGGCAATCCACCTGCTCGAAGATCCTCACGCCACGCGTGTGCATATTGCTGCAGTGAACCTGGAGATTGAGGTGAAGGAGAAAAAATGGGAATGGGAAGTGGAGAAGGGCAGGATCATAGATAAGACAGTCAACTCTGAAGCACTCTCATTTCCCTTTCCCGTGTTAATATTCTAGCACAGGGGTTGGCAACCTTAAACACTCAAAGAGCCACAAAGGTCCTAACCAAAAGCCCCCTGTTCAATTCTGGAGCTGACCAGAAGTCCAATTCCTCCACAAAGAGTCTACTCCTAGAGCGGCGTCCTTTTTCCTCTACCTGTCCTAACCGAAAGCCCTATTAATTGTGGAGCCGACCAGAGCCCCTTGTCATAGAGTCTCCTCTTGGCGCGCCGTGCTTTCTCCCCTAACCAGAAGCTCCTCTCAAAATTGTGGCACCATCCGGTGACAGGGAGCTGCAGCAGAGGGATGAAAGAGCCACATCCGGCTCCAGAGATGAGGGTTGCCGACCCCTGTTCTAGCAGTATGAGACCAGTTGTAAACTGAGGACTATCAGTATTAGGAATCTGTCTTTTAATTGGCCAAGCCCATTAATCCTGCCAGGTTCTTCACACCCAATCGGGTCCTCTCCAGAAAAATGCTGTTACCTTCATATATGTGAAGGATCTGAGTCGGTCAAACTCAAACTCCATCTTGAGGAAACCGTCAGGAAAAGTTCTTTTGCTCCAGCCCACATAGTCGTATCCAGGCCAAACCCGGAACTCTTTGGTTTGGGTGAAGTCATCCAGTCCCACCACTCCATCTGTCAACTGGCCAAGACCCCCAAAGTGTAACCTGCATTAGAAAGGATCCCAAAGAAAAAGAGGGAAAACAGGATGAGGAAAAGAAAGTCTAGGATCCCTCAAAACTCTTACGTACAGCACTAATTCCAGTAATTTTATGGAGCTTCTTGGAAGAGTAGGTTTCTTTAAATTCTACAAATGAAATTCAGCTACACAATGAAGTAACCGAGCTAAGAATGTCCACGCTCTGCAATGTATAACAAGTGGGATCCAGAAGTGAACATTCTTGGACAGAGCTTCCCTCTTCTTCTGTAATCCACTCCCCCACAGAAATAAGATCTTCATTAATATTTAGGAACATGGGATCCTTCAGGCTCTCTGAGCTTGGTTGTTTTCTTTTGGATGTTTCATTACCCAACTAGGTAACACCATCAGTGTTACAATGGACTGAAGAGACTCCTTCCTAGCATTGTTGATGTTACCTAGTGAACTGTCTGCAAGCAAACAATCAAGCTCAGAGTGCGCCAAAGACCCCACAATTCAACTCTGAGCTACAAATGTTCTCTTCTGTTGGTATTAGGAACATGCTGAAAATTTGGTTGTTTAGATAGGTATTTCAGATGCTGAAATATTAATGACGTAGGGTTGCCCACTGGAAGTTAATAAGTCTACTATAATGAATTTGAACTGTGGATATTTAAACCTATTTTTGGTTTATTCCTAAGTGAGTCGCTTAGATTGGCTTTGACCAAAACAGCATAAAATCACTTACAAATAAATTTTAAAAATACATTTTCCTTTACACTTTGGGTACGAATCAGGGGTAAATGCTACCGGTTCGCACCAGTTTGGGCGAACCGGTAGTGATAAAAGATACCAGTTCAAGAGAACCGGTAGTAAAAAAAAAAAGCTACCAGTTTGTTGGAATCGGTATTTCCGACTATCAGCTGTGCCGCGCGATTTAAATTCACTAGAAAGCAGGAAATCCAGTTTTCTAACGAATCTAAATCGCGCGGCACAGCTGTTCCCCCCCTCGCTGTTCTACTTACCTTCCCAAGTCTCCTTTTTCTACGCGAAGGGCACGTTTGGTGCGCACTGCACATGCACATACATACAGCATGCATTTGGCATACACTGCCCATGTGTGCACAGTGTACATTTGGTGCACCCTGCGCATGCACATGTATGCAGTGTGTGTTTGGCGTGCACTGCGCATGTATGTGCACAGCGTTCATTTGGCGTGCACCACGCATGTGTGGGCAGCGAGCCGGTGGCAAACCAGGGAGGGTTTCACCACTGGTATGAATGCCAATCCAGATTTCCCCAGCCAAAGATTCAGACTCTCTGAACTCTTAGCTGCCTGAAGATCCAAAACCCTGGAAACCTGTAATTACATATCTCTGGAGAACACCAGAAGGGTTGAACTGACATGATCTTGCAAGCCAACAGAGAATGAAAATATTGAATAACAAACAACTATTTCATCCCCAGTTGCTATGCTTGAAAGCCGCTCAGGAGCCTCTTACTCACTCACTTGCTGACACTGGACCCGTCGTAAGTGGAGTCATTCAGGTAGACCTTTTCCGGGACCAAAATCATCTCCTGACCTAAAGGGGCCGTATAGGATTGAAGGCCATCTGTGGAAGGACACCAGGCATTCAAAGGTAAGTTTCCAGTTTGTTATACCATTAGATGCAAGTCTTGGATGGGTTCCGTGGAGAGAGGTTTTTCCACAGATCAGAGGGGGTGTGGTTTTGCGTGCTGCCTACATCCTGCAAATGGGGCTTTGCTTGTTTCTGGCATGCCACAGGCCGGGCTGGTCAATGGACCGAGGGTTAGGGACCCCAGATATAATGTGTTTCATTTGAGTATAACATGTTTAGAGAGACTGGCTAGCGTGGTACATGATGTGAACCCAGCAATTAAAAAGTCATGACAAGGCAGCAGTGCCTCAGACAGAAAGTCCATACAGAGAGCGGTAAGGACAACCAAGAAGATCATAGGAAGCTCACTTCCTGTTATTCATGATACTGCTTATATGTACTATGTGCTTAGAGTTCAAATCATTGTTAGAGACCCCACACACCCACTTTACAGTCTGTTTCTGTTGCTCCCCTCTGGGAGGAGGTTTCGAAGTATTTCTAGCAAGACTGCCAGACACTGTAACAGCTTTGTTCCCTATGCCATCCGTCTGGTAAACTCGCAAAATTCGCTTTTCTCGCCATGTAAATATATACATCCGAGCTAGACTGTGTTGTTTCTCTGTGTCATATAATATATGTGGGTATATGCATAATTTTGTATTTATTTATTTTGTCATATTTATATAGTGTATATTGGAGGTGGTGACCCTTTGAGAGCTGTATGCAACAAAATTTCAGTTTAACGTATGCCGATTCGTGTACATTCAAAGTGTCAATAAAGTTATTATCCTATTCCAGAGGTGAGTTTCAGCAGGTTCTGACCAGTTCTGGGGAACCAGTAGTAGAAGTTTTGAGTAGTTCGGAGAACAGGTAGTACAAATTCTGACTGGCCCCGCCCGCATCTATTTTCTGCCTCCCAAGTCCCAGCTGATCGGGAGGGAATGGAGATTTTACAGTATCCTTCCCCTGCCATGCCCATTAAGCCACGCCCACCAAGCAATGCTACGCCCACCAAGCCACACCCACAGAACCGGTAGTAAAAAAAATTTGAAACCCACCAGTGTCCTATTCCCATTCCCATTCCATTCCATTCTATTCACCCAGCCTGAAAAAACTGCTAAAACACACTGTACTCTCAAACAATGCAAATACTGCTTTACTCACCTTTCCAGACACAGCCGTAGAGTTCCACTCGCAAGCAGACACTCATGACACGGTCTGAACGGGGGTAGAAGCGGATGTACCGGGCAATGATGGGAGGACCCAGATCCTTCAACACCACATCTTCAGTGTTTTCATTGCCTGAAATCACCTAAGAGAAAAGGAGGAGTGAAGAGTGAAAGAGGGGTTGAATAGGGTCTAATAAGTCAACTTTGCCTGACCTATTGATTAGAGCAGTGGTTACAGGTAAGTCCTCCATTTACGATCAAATTGAGCCCAAAATTTCCATTGATAAGCAAGACACTTGTTAAGTGAGTTTTGCCCAAATTTACAACCTTTTCTTGCCACAATTTTCTTGCAGCTGTTAAAATTAGTAACATAGTTGTTAAATAAGTCTGGCATCCCCATTGACTTTGCCCATCAGGAAGTTGTAAAAGGTAATCATCTGACTCCGGGACATTGCAACCGTCATAAATGTAAGCCAGTTGCCCAGTGTCTGAATTTTAATCATGTGAGCATGGGGATGCTGGACAGTCATAAATGTGAAAAGTGTCATAAGTCTCTTTTCCAGTGCCGTTATAACTTCAAACAGTCACTAAAGAAATGTCAAAGACTACCTCTACTCAACCTTGGCAACGTTAAGATGAGTGGACTCCAACTCCCAGAATTCCCCAGTCAGCCATACTGCTTGGGGAATACTGGGAGTTGAAGTCCACGCATCTTGAAGGTGCCAAGGTTGAGAAACAATGGATTAGACACAGTTGCATTCTCCACAAAATGATCTGTTTCCATGTTATCCCACCTTAGAGAAGAAGTTATAAAACTCCCTATTTACCTCATTGCCCCACCGGTCATGCCAAGGCATCCAGTGATGGCCATCCCGCTTGTAATGGAGCCGATAAGACCGAGCAAATTCCTTGCCGTGGCCACCTGCGTGGCGGCCCTGCGTCCCCACCAAGGTTAGGAAATGCAGCCGGCGCAGGTCTATCTCCAGGTACTCTGCATCATTGGGATAGACGGGTCCTGCAGGGCACCAAGCTCCATCACCCTCACTCAGGCCCAGCCTGGACAACAAGAAAGGAGATGTGAGATAAGCCTTTTGGACTGCCCGTATCACAGAGCTCATTTTATTTATTTATTTTTATCCTACATTTATTATATTTTGTAATATCTCAAAATAGCTAAGATGTAGACGACTCATTCATGAATTGGGCTAAAAGAGAGAGACTGTCCCAAAGTCACCCAGACGGCATTCATGCCTGAGGCGAGACTAGAACTCACGTCTCCTGGTGTTGTGACCTAGGCCCAAGTAGGTATTATCAGACGCAATCAGTTCTAAACAAACAGATTTTATTAGAACAGCTGAGAATTAACTCATTCTCAGCGTAGTCCAAACTAAATCAAAACAAATTCTTCATAACACAGTTCTTCGGCCTTATCACCAACCTTGGTCTACTTTGGCAACCTGCCAAAGGCTTTTCTTGGCAAAAGTTCAGAAGCAGGAGACGCCGACAAGAAACAAATCTATCAACATTATTTTCCAACAAGGAGCCCAAGAGCCATTGTTGGTCTTTTAAGCCTTATGGGAGGGGCCAATCATCTCTTGGCCCTACTCCCGAGTCGTCCTTTTTGCTTTAGCTGCTCTTGCCTTCTGGCAGCTCTTCTCATGTGTGCACTAGGAACAGGCTCCTCCTGTTCCTCTGCCTCTCTGCTGTCAGCCTCTGGAGGCTCCAGAGTCCGTACATCACTCTCAGATGGCCCTGGCCCCATCTCTGCCTCCGACGCAGAGCCCTCATCCGGGCCTTCCCCTGACTCCAGGACTGGCCCATTGTCCTCCCCAGCCTCCTCACTGTCCGACTCCACTGCCAGGTCCGCAGGCTGCTGACGGACCACAACACCTGGTTTCTAGTCGGGTGCCTTATTTTAGTTTGATCCCAAATTCTAGGAGTTGAAGTTCACACATCTTAAAGTTGCCAAGGTTGAGAAACACTGCACTAACCTAAGGAGTCAGGAGTTATTTTTAAAGTGGGTAGGGCAGACTTCTTCTTTAACACATCCAGTTCATTTTGAACGTCGTTTGGTTTTTTTAGAGTGCTTGCCATGAGCCTCTGGGGAATAGGGGGAATGTTGGCTCATGAATCATGACATTATTGCACAAATGGTATGACTCCTTACTGGACATCTTAACACAACCTGAACTGCTTGAAGGACTGTCATTTCCCTGTTACATCAATGTGACCCACCAGAGTAGGGAGGCAGGGTATGTTGTAGACTCCCTCTCTTAAAGAGGTCCATCTAGATCAGTGTTTCTCAACCTTGGTAGCTTGAAGATGGGTGGACTTCAACTCCCAGAATCCCCCAGCCAGTGCTGCTGGCTGGGGGATTCTGGGAGTTGAAGTCCACCCATCTTCAAGCTACCAAGGTTGAGAAACACTGATCTAGTGAGACCAAAAATAAAAGGGGCCTTCTCTGTGGTGGCTCCCTCTCTCTGGAACATCATCCTTGTAGAAATAAGATTGGCCCCATCTTGATACAGTATATTTTGACATGGTTTGGCCAGCAGGCCTGGAGATCTCAGGGTGATACAGAGCGAATCAATTACGGTTTGTTTCATTGCTGTTGCTGGGGGGATTGGGGTGTTATTGGATTTTGTATTTGGGGTGTTTCTTCTGTTAGCCACCAGGGTCACTGTGATTGAGTTGGGCAGTCATACATACTTTTTAAATGAATAAATAAATAAAATTTCTGTAATTTACATCATTGTGTCTTTTGCCCAATGGCATCCTGATCTACAAATAGACATATTAAACATTCCTGTGGATTGTTATGGATACTGTTGATATTAGCTAGTTCTCCCCAATCAGCAAATCTGATAGATCACTGATTAAAAAAAAAGAAATCTTTGTTGATTCCTTGACATGTCAAGGGACGTTGCGGTTATCCTTTATAAATTGATTCGCACAACGGATACTTTAAGTTTCACAAATGAAAACGAATCTGGCCTAGAAACTATATGTGAGAAATCATAAGACTTCTATCCAGTTGCCAATATCTACCAATGCAAGTAAACATATTACAACAGCAGGTAAAAATACCTTAGAGGCATTTATGCAAATCATTCAAACTGCAGACATTTTTGTACTGGGCACCAATCCAACTTAATGTTTTAAATGTAAATAAGGGCCCAGTTCCTAAGACACGGTACATTTGAATATGTGTACATGCCAAACGGGAATTTCCAGAACTTTCATCTTAACGGACAGAACTCTGAGTAAGTATGCATCGATAAACAAATGTGTGAATCGATTACGTCATGCAAATTAAGCAGCGGATTCCTTCCTCACCTGCTGTGTTTTGCCGCCGTTGAATCATGCCATGAACTTGAGGCTGAAAGAGCTTCATCTGGAATGGTGCGATCCTGCATTCCAAGCGCATACCGACACTTAGCTGTTGAAGGAAAAACGTGAAAGGCTGAAAAATATTCTCTGTTAGCGAATGCAAGTCCCCAGATACACACCTACAGATAATCCTTGATTTACGGCCACAGTTAGGATTAGAATTTCCATTGCTAAGCAAGGCAGTTGTTAAGTGAGTTGACTTTGCTTGTTGGAAGCCAACTAGGATGGTTGGAAATGGCAACCGCATGACTCCAGCATGCTGCAACCACTGTAAATATTGTTGCCAAGTATTCAAATTTTTATCACGTGACTGTGGGGATGCTGCAATGGTTGTAAGTGTGAGAACCAGTCCTAAGTCACTTTATTCAGTACTGTTGTAACTTCAGACAGTTGCTAAATGAATGGAGATAAGTTGAGGACTACCAGCATAGGAATCAGGTATGTTACTGGTTCAACTATGACCTAATGCAATGAGTAAGAGCCAGAAGAAAATCAATAAAACTAATGGCATATATTGGGTCTGACTCATTTGTTGCATTTAGACAAGACAAAGCACAAGTGTAAAATAAGTGGTATCTGGCTCAATAGTAGTAACTGTGAGAGGGATCTTGGAGTCCTAGAGGACAACCACTTAACTATGAGCCAGCAGTGTGCAGCAGCTGCCAAAAAAAGCCAACACAGTTCTGGTTTGCATAAACAGAGGGATAGAATCAAGGTCACATGAAGTGTTAATACCACTTTATAAAGGCCACACTTGGACTACTGCTTCCAGTTTTGGTTGCCACCATGTAAAAAAGATGTGGAGACTCTAGAAAGAGTGCAGAGAAGAGCAACAAAGATGATTAGGGGACTGGAGGCTAAAACATATAAAGAACGGTTGCTATAATTGGATATGGCTAGTTCAGGGGTTGGCAACCTTAAACACTCAAAGAGCCACAAAGGTCCTAACTGGAAGCCCCCCGTTAAATTCTGGAGCCAACCAGAAGTCTGGTTCCCCCATCATAAAGTCTCCTCCTAGCACGATGTCCTTTTTCCTCTACCTGTCCTAACCAAAAGCCCTATCAATTGTGGAGCCAATCGGTAACAGGGAGCCGCAGTAGAGGGATGAAAGAGCCACATGTGGCTCCAGAGCCACGGGTTGCTGACCCCTGGTCTAGTTTAATGAAAAGAAGGACTAGGGGAGACATGATAGCAGTGTTCCAATATCTCAGGGGCTGCCACAAAGAAAAGGGAGTCAAGCTATTCTCCAAAGCACCTGAGGGTAGGACAAGAAGCAATGGGTGGAAACTAATCAAGGAGAGATGCAACCCAGAACTAAGAAGAAATTTCATGACAGTGAGAACAATTAATCAGTGGAACAATTTGCCTCCAGAAGTTGTGAATGCTCCAACACTGGAAGTTTTTAAGAAGATGTTGGACAACCGTTTGTCTCAAATGGTATATGGGTTTCCTGCCTGAGCAGGGGGTTGGACTAGAAGATCTCCTAGGTCTCTTCCAACTCTGGTATTCTGTTCTGCTTATAACAGGGTTTAAAGCCAAGTTAATATTACCAAGAGGCATTTCTTGATAAATCTTGGACTAAGAAGTTGCCAAGGTTGAAAAACATTCCAGGTACTCCTCGGCCACAATTGATACAATTTTCAGTTGCTAAGCAAGATGACTTATGAAGTGAGTCCTCAACGCACGAACACAATTGAGCCCAAAATTTCTGCTGCTAAGTGAAAGAGTTTTGCTCCACTTTACGACTTTTCTTGTCACCGTCATTAAGTGAATCACTGCGGTTGGTAAATTTGTAACACGGTTGTTAAATGAAACTGATTTTCCCCATTGGGTTTGATTGTCAGGTGGTCGCAAAAGGGGATCATATGACCCTCTGCACACTGCAACCGTCATAAATATGAGTCAGTTACCAAACCTCTGAATTTTGATCACGTTCAAAGAGAAGCTAGGCGGGACATCTGTTTGTCATTGTATTTTTTTTAAAATATATTTATTTTGCTTTATATGTCTGGCATTGTATTAACCCACATTCATATACCAAGCAGAGAGTCAGATGGAGTCACCTAACTAACTGGTTCCTTTCAAAGATTCTGATGTTTCTGTATTTTCCACTAGGAGGCACTCTAATTTCACATACAAGAAGAGGGAGGCCACCAGTTGAGTGATTTTCAACAGAAATTTGAATCGAAATATAAAAAATCCAAAAGGTAATTTAATTGATTCAATAAACAACAGCATGACTCAGAAGTTAAATTGGATTCTTTCAAGATTCCCCTCCAGTATCAAATGCTGGAAGCTTTTTGGAATTCAGCTCAAAAGGTAAATTGAAAAACACCTGAGGGAAAAAAAACCAGAGTGACTCCAGAATAAAATTGAAATTGATATAGGATTATGATTTACTAAATAACTGGTTTTGATATGAATGGTATTGTTAAATAGACAGAATTTAGGGAAATAATTATGAATTGTATTACATTGTGTTATTTGAACTAAGAACTCTGTTTAAATGTCAAATAGGTATAGTTTCAAGATTAGAGATAAGACTTAAATTTGAGGAAGTAATAATTAAATAAAGATTTAATGAATATTAAGTTTTAGAAATGGAAACAAGATTTAGAAATATAAACATGTTTGAACTGTATTGTCATTTAGGGTAAGAATTGTGAAATGTATTATGAGCAGGGTGGATTTGATTTAAATCAAGTCGATTTAAATCACTAGTAAAAAGGCTTGATTTAAATCAACTCGATTTAAATCATAATTTTTAAAGAACAACTGTCATCTCTGTCCCGCAGCGGCTCCTCCTCTGACCTGCTGTTGATTCGCCAACAGTCCCAATATTACAGAATATACAGCCTCATGCTACGTAACTAAGCTCCATTTCATGCTGAATAAACTAAATTATTAATGTATCTTAAATAGAAGAGTATCTTTAGATAGATTTTTACTTCAAAAGCATTTTATTAAAATTTAAATTTGATAATAAAAAAATCCAATTTAAATCAAAAAAATCCGATTTAAATCAAAAAAATCTGATTTTTTTGATTTTTTAAAAAAAATAATTGATTTTTATCCACCCTGATTATGAGGTATTAATTGAATTAAGATTTAAGGTGGATTAATAGAAGGGCAATTGCTTTGATCAAGTTAATATGAGTTAGCTTTCTATAAGATGGGAATAGTTGAGATATGTGATAAGTATTATGGCAAAAATAGAATATATAAAATTTTGTTAAAGGTGAACAAAAAGTTGAACAAATTTATGACCGGATCAATGCTCTGTTCCAAAAAGATGCATTGTATGTTTATTTGTGTGTTTTAAAAAAAAAAAATTGCAAAAAAAAATATTGAAATTGTTTGGTGGTAGCATTCAGTACAGAAGAAAAGACAAAGCTCTGTTGTCAAACACATTATTCACTGATGGATTTTGCTCTCTTCCTCAACAGAGACAGAATACAGAATAAGAGAGTTGGAAGGGACCTTGGAGGACTCCTAGTCCAACTCCCTGCTGAAGCAGGAGACCGTACACCCGTGATGGTGAACCTATGGCACGAGTGCCGGAAGTGGCACACAGAGCCATCTCTCTGGGCACGCGAGCCATCGCCCGTTGCTCTTCCGGTTTCCGGCACGCCAGCCAGCTGATCTTCCCATGCACAGGAGTGCCGAAAACTGGAAGAGCAGCCGCCTGGTGCGCATGGTATTCTGGTTTCTGGCACGCATGCACATGCGAAAACCAGATGGCCAGCACACCGAAGCCCAGAAGAGCAACAGGCGATGGCTAGCGTGTCCAAAGACGCAGAGAGGGGATCCCAGTGGTTGCTTCCTGGGGAAGCAGAGGTGTTGGCCAGGATGGGTGGGCTGGGGCTTCCCTCCCTCCCCGCCCAAGCAGGCTTCTTGCGTGGCCCGAGTCCGCCAGCCCGCAGCACCAACACATGTCCAGAACGCCTGGCCAGCTCGGGTGCATGGGACAGCAGGGCAGTATTTGGTGGCGGGGTGGCCGGCCACCCTGCCCGCTGCTCCTGCCACCGCCAGAAGCGAGGGGACGGCGGCAGTTCTAGCGCTGCCACTTCTGGCCGGGATGCTGGAGGAGGAGGAACCGTTGTCAGGGAGGCGAGGTGCCCCAGGAGGGCTGGAGGAGAGCGCAGCTCCTCATGAATGGAGATACTGTGGAGGGCCCGGCTTGCCGGTGGGGGAGTGGCTGCAGAGGCTGGCCGGTCGCTCCTGCCCCTCACCCTGCAGCTGCCGCTCAGCTCCTGTGCAGCCCCGCCACTGCAGAAGAGCAGCAGCCGCAGCAGCCACCCAGCAAGCAAACGCTGCCCTGCTGCCCCTGAGCCAGCTAGGTGTTCCAGACCGCAGATGCGTGTCAGTGCCGCAGGCTGGAGGGCTCGGGCCATGCAAGACACCCGCTCTGGCAGGGAGGAACATCTGTACGGCGCCGGGGTAAGAGGTGCCCCGGCCGGGAAGAGGTCACACTCCCTTGGCAGAATTGGTGAGGGGGGGCTGCGCTGGCTTATTCTTGGTGGTGGGCTGGGGGGGCACTTCATTGACATTTTTCCAGTTTCTGGCACGCACATGCACACTGGCTAGCTGGTCTTCGCACGTGATGCACACCACAAACCGGAAGTCCAGGTGGTGTGCCGGAAATCAGAAGATCATCTTCCCGGTGCACGCATGCGCAATGGGCGGCTGCTTTTCCGGCACGCGGTGCCGAAAAGGTTCGCCAACACTGCCCTACACCATTTCAGACAAGTGGCTGTCCAGTCTGAAAAGCCTCCAGTGATAAAGCACCCACAACGTCTGAAGGCAATCTGTTTCACTGGTTAATTGTCCTCCTTGTTAGAAAGTTACTTCTTAGTTCTAGGTTGCTTGATTACTTGGGCCTACAGAGGGTTCTGTTTCCAAGATTGGAAACAGGACTCTCAGTTCTCTTCTCCTGTAGCGGTGCACATATGTGATGCTCTGCCACTACTTGTCAGCCTGAGAAAATAACAGCCAAAATAAAAATAAAAATCTCAGAGGAATGTGAAATATTCCAGGCAGGAGCAGCTCTGGATCGTGATCAACTGACCACTTTGTTTCCACTTGACACATCAGGCCACAACAGTACTCAGTGTGTCCCATGGAATGTTTATGGGAGAGCAAACACCCCAATTGGAACCTCGTTTCCTTTCCCCTTCATGACACTTTAATGGGCTGGAGGACGTCTTCGAGGGGCCTGCAAAACATTCCATCACGGAATACTCCAAACAGGGAACAGGCCATTCCAAGGGTTCTGGAACACTGAGAAGGGCAACCTGTTCCAAGGTCAGACTGTTCCGTGACGGAATGTTTTGAACATTCCTGGGGTCTCTTATTCTGGGTATCGATCCCATCAGTCCATCTTAGCTTCAGCAAGGATGTTGCTTCAGTTGTCTCCAGGCACAGCATTTGTGCTACACGCCTTCTTCACGCCCTGTTTCCCTTCTTAACCTTCTGGGAGGAGGAGGCTTCGTGGCATCTGATGCAGAACATCCAGATTCAGCCACAGTTTTGTTCCCTATAGCATCAACCTTGTGAGCTCTCCTCTTTCCGCTACGTATTCAAAATGGACAGTGATTAATCTATATATGTATATATATATATATGTATGTATGTGTATATGTGTGTGTATGTATATGTGTGTGTGTGTGTGTTTATGTGTATATATAGGCACACACACATACTTAAATACACACATACTTAAACACACACATAGACAGACATATGTATATATATCAGCTGCAAACTAAAATTCAGAAGGCAGCTTCCTCTGGATAGATACTGTAAGACCATGATGGTGAACCTATGGCATGCATGCCAGAGGTGGCACATAGAGCCCTCGCTGCTGGCACGCGTGCCGTCACCCCAGGTCAGATCTCCGTGGCGTTTCTTTCGTGAGCTTCTGAAAACGATGAAACAGAAGCTCCCAAAAGAAAAAGATCTTACCTCTTACCGCTCTGCCGGTTTGGGGATGCCCAAATGAATGACACCCAGATGCCTCACTGTTCATGTATTGATATTGAGGTACATTCAAAAATAAAAATAAAAACTTTACCAAAAAAAAAAATCATTCTCATTAACCACTGGCTACTTTTCATGCAAATAGCTGGGATCATTGTGGAATATACTTATTTGATTGATATTTTGTCTTTCACTCAGGAGCTCAAAGCAGCACACGGAGCTCTCCTCCTCCTATTTTCCCTCACCTATGAGGGAAGCTGGGCTGAAGTTCCTCCTCCCACTAACTTCCCAGATTTGAGGAGTTCATCCTTTCCCCAAACTGTGCAGTGTTTGTGTGCACGAAGGGCTCTTCTGGTAAATCCAGGATATGTGGATTTGAGGGACTTAATTCACTTGCTTCTCCTACAACTGAAATCAGAGTTGAACCCTGATGCCAGCCAGCTGTTTTGAACCTCTGCCCTTTTCTCTCTTCGGCTTCTGCTTCTTACCTGGATCGAAGTGCTCTTCCAATTCCGATGTCCCCATGGAGATCAGGAGCAAAAACCAAAGCATCCTGCCTCTGACCAGTAGGCTGGTTACATTGATAACTGAACTTTCATGCCTGTTGAAAAAGTTGAAGAAAAAAGGAGTTAATGAAGCAGCTAACGAAGAAGCAATTAACGAAGGACGGTTACAGGAATTAGATAGTCTAATGAAAAGGACCAAAGGAGACATGACCGCAGCGTTCCAATATTTGAGGGGCTCCTACAAAGACGAGGGAGTCAAACTATTTTTCAAAGCACCAAAAGGCAAGATGAGAAACAATGGATGGAAACTAACCAAGGAGAGAAGCAAGCTAGAACGAAGGAGAAATTTCCTGACAGTTAGAACAATAAACCAATGGAACGGCTTTGCCTTCAGAAGTTGTGGGTGCTTCATCATTGGAGGCTTTCAAAAAAAAGAGACTGGACAATCATTTGTCTGAAATGGTATAGGCCAGTGATGGTTAACCTTTTTGCCATCACGTGCCAAAAGCGGGGGGAGTGTGGGGGGGATCGCGGACGTGCATGCCCACACCCATAATTCAATATGCCCTGCCCCCCGTGCATGCACGCGCCCCCCCGTGACTCCCGCTTTTGGCACGCGGTGGCATGGTGGGACCAGTAGGCCCATCTTTTGCCCTACCCAGTCTCCAGAGGCTTTCTAGGAGCCTGGGGAGGGTGAAAACGGCCTTCCCCACCACCCCAGAGGCCCTCTGGAGGCCGGAAATGGCCCATTTCCTGACTTCCAGTGGGACCAGAAGGCCCATTTTTCGCCCTCCCCAGTCTCCAGAGGCTTTCTAGGAGCCTGGGGAGGGTGAAAACGGCCTTCCCCACCACCCCAGAGGCCCTCTGGAGGCCGGAAATGGCCCATTTCCTGACTTCCAGTGGGACCAGAAGGCCCGTTTTTCGCCCTCCCCAGTCTCCAGAGGCTTTCTAGGAGCCTAGGGAGGGGGAAAATGGCCTTCCCCACCACCCCAGAGGCTCTCTGGAGGCCAGAAATGGCCCATTTCCTGACTTCCAGTGGGACCAGAAGGCCCGTTTTTCGCCCTTCCCAGGTGTCAGAGGCTTTCTAGGAGCCTGGGGAGGGTGAAAACGGCCTTCCCCATCCCCCAGAGGCCCTCCAGAGGCAGGAAACGGCCCATTTCCTGACTTCCGGTGGGCCTGGAAGGCCCGAAAATCATCTGGCTAGCGCGCGCATGCACGCTGGAGCTGAGCTAGCGCAACACTCGTGTGCCCACAGATATGGCTCCACGTGCCACCTGTGGCACGCGTGCCATAGGTTCGCCATCACGGGTATAGGGTCTCCTGCTCAAGTAGGGGATTGGACTAGAAGTCCTCACAGGTCTCTTCCAAATCTATTATTCTATGTTCATAACCTTATGTGGGTCTTTTCCTCCATCACTCAGCTTGATGGTGAGTGATTTCAACCTGACTTAGCGGCCTTATTCATTTCCTAGTTCAAGCCCTTGATCGGTTCTAATGAATACCACACGTTCCAGGCAAGGAAATCACTCACATGCTGCTATTGTCTTTATTTTCCTAGATTCCAGCCAGAAGGGACTGGAAGTGACACACCAGCAGCGTTAAAACACATAATCATCGCGGACAAAGAGGGCTACAAGCCAAATCTGTGGCTCCTCATACACTTTGCTTCTGGGAAAATCCACCCTGTAAATAAAAGAGCCAGTCATGGGATTGATTAAAAAATAACTTGGTTGTTTCAGTTAAGTTTCAGTTAAATATTGGTGAAATAAGCTCAAGTAGAGTGAAACCATGATCTTATTTATTAGGAATGAAGCAGGCAGACTATGTTAACTACAGAGCACCTTGTAGTCATACAGGTAGTCCTCAAATTACGTCCACAATTAAGTCCAAAATTTCTGCTGCTAAGCAAGACAGTTGTCAAGTGAATTTTGCTCCATTTTATGACCTTTCTTGCCACAATTGTTAAGTGAATCACTGTAGCTGTTAAATTAGTCACATGGTTGTTAGGTGAATCTGATTTCCCCATTGACTTTGCTTGTCAGACTGTCATAAAAGGGGATCATTTGACCCCAGGACACTGCCACCGTCATAAATATAAATTGCCAAGTGTACAAATTTTGATCATGTGACCATGAGGATGCTGCAATGTTTGTAAATGTGAAAAATGGATATAAGTCACTTTTTTCAATGCCATTGTAACTTCAAATGCTGATTAAATGAACTGTTGTAAATTGAGGACTAGCTGTATACAATCCATAATGCTAATCCTAGAGCAGTGATGGCGAACATTTTTGGCACTTGTGCAGAAATGTTGTGCGTGCGTGCGCGCTCGTCGGGGCTGCGCTCCTGAAAAGCCAAACTTCCGGGTTTTGGCGCGCATGTGCACCCGACAATCAGCTGGCATGTGCACGCCAGTTTTTGGCACTGCCATACGCGGAAAGGACAGCTGATAGTTGTGCGCGCATGCGTGCCAGAAACCCAGAAGACAAACAGGCAAGGCCACGCGTGCCAGGCAACATGGCTTCACATGCCACTTTGGGCATGCGTGCCATAGGTTCGTCATCACAGGACTAAATGATCTACAAAGTCCCTTCCAACTCTGTTATTCTGTTAAACTGAAATCACTATTACAATTTACAGCTGTTTTCTCACAAAAAATGCCCTTTGGATAAAATGAGCTCACGCCTGTGACCAGGTACTTCACATAACAGCCACGTAGCAGTTGCTCAGCGACTGTAATGATACACTTAATGAACATCATAAAAGCGGCCATAAAATCGAGTCTGGTCACATGGTGCCTCCAATTACAACCACAATGACTTATGACCAAAATTACAGTCCCTATTGTAGTCCTAAGACGACCTGTAGTGCCTCTGAATATGGAGATTCAATTTACCAGGCACTATTAGACATTTAAGCTGCCCGGCTCATCAGAATTACAGCCCAGCTACTGCAGTGAAGCAAGTGTCATCAATTATTACTCACAACTAAGAATAGAAATACAAACATATGCAATAGATAGTCAAGCTCTCCTCCCCTGGCGTTCATCCTGGAATTCCAGGCACGGATTTTTTTTTTTCAGTGATGTCATTCCTCAAATTAAAAATAAGACAAAGCAAGCATAAAAAGAGGAAGTGCAGAAGAAGATAGGATGAGTGGTAAATCAAGGTGGAGTTTGTTTGTTTACTTTTGGCTTTGTCTTACATGCAAATCTACCCATATAAATATGTCATTATGTTAAACCCAAACCAAGCAAAAAACCTCATTGTGGCTTAGAGCCCTTCGTGAACACAGTCTCAATGCAAAGCTCAGCACTGTTCCGTGAAAAAGGGGTTTTGAAAGGGGAAAATTTTAAACCACGATAAGACTCAGTGATTTTCCGGAGAACTTCCAGCATGTCACACCATCAGCCAGACTGGATGGCTGGGGCTTCTGGAGGTTGGAGTTCTGTGATACCTGGAGGGTCACATCTTCTTGACCCAGGAAGAACATTTCTTGCACAGCATGTCCCACCTCGGATTTCTTCAGAGCAATAAATACATGTAATTCTAAACATGCAATGATAATGGAGCCTGCCGATTAACAATAGCAATAGCCCTTAGTCTTATATACTGCTTCACAGTGCTTTACAGCCCTCTCTAAGTGGTTTACAAAGTCAACCAATTGCCCCCAACAATCCTGGTCCTCATTTTACCGACCTCGGAAGGATGGAAGGTTGAGTCAACTTTGAGCTGGTCAGAATTGAACTCTTGGCAGCGAGCAGAGTTAGCCTGCACTACTGTATTCTAACCACTGCGCCACCATGGCTCTTATGATTGTATGTCATGATGGTTGTAAAATGTAAAAACGGTCTTCCCCAGCCCACATGGAGGCCCTCCGGAGACCCTCCAGAGGCCAGAAATATTTGCCAAATTTGCCATTTGCCAAACGGGCCATTTCCGGCCTCCGGAGGGCCTCCGGGGGGGGAGGCCGTTTTCGCCCTCCCCAGCCTCCTAGAAAGGCTCTGGAGGCTGGGGAGAAAGAAAAACAGGCCTTCCCCAACACCACCCTGAGGCCCTCCGGAGGAAGGAAACAGCCTGTTTCCCTACTTCTGGTGGGCCCAGAAGGCCCGAAAATTAGCTGGCCGGCACGCGTGCCATAGATTTGCCATCACGGGCCTAGACTCTCAATTCAATATCTGTTTCTCTTTCACGTTTTGTTTTAGCCAAGTTCATCAATATGTTGATCCAGGTCAACTATAATCCTTTACAGTCTTTGGAAATTCATTCACGCTATCCCCAAATATATTGGAAATGAGTGTAACGGAATAACAGAGTCGGAAGGGACCATGGAGGTCTTCTAGTCTAACCCTTTGCAAGAAGGAAACCTATCATTTCAGATAAATGGCTGTCCAATCTCTTCTTAAACCTCCAATGATGGAGCACCCACAACTTCTGGAGGCAAGTTGTTTTACTGCTCAATTGTTCTAAATGTCAGGAAATTTCTCCTTAGTTCTAGGTTGCTTCTCTCCTTGATTAGTTTCCATCCACTGCTTGAGAGGAAAACATTTGCAATAAGGTCAGTCACTCTCTCTTAGCCCAACTCACCTCACAAGGTTATTGTCGTGAGGTAAACAGGACAAGAAAGGAGTACAGGTACTCCTCGACTTACAACCATTTGTTTAGCAACTGCCTGAAGTTACAACTGCTGTTTGTAAGGTTGTCGTTTAAAAAAACAATCTATAACATTTTCATCTATTAATCTATTTTTAAATAAAAGAGCTAGGATGTTAAGATGAGACACTTTTAGGCAGCGGTGAAATTCAAATTTTTTTACTAACGGTTCTTTGGGCGCGGCTTGGTGGGCATGGCTTGGTGGGTGTGGCAGGGGAAGGATATTACAAAATCTCCATTTCCACCCCACTCCAGGGGAAGGATATAAATTAAAGCACAAAAAAAAAAAAAGGATATTGCAAAATCCCCATTCCCTCTCCACTTCTGGGGGAAGGATACTGCAAAATCTCCACTCCCACTCCAATCTGGGACCAGCCAGAGTGGTGTTTGCCTGTTCTCCGAACTACTCAAAATTTCAGCTACTGGCTCTCCAGTACCTGTCAGAACCCCTGCTTTTAGAGTTCCCACATTTGGACAAGTGTGCCTTTTGGTAATATTAACCTGACTTTAAACCCCATTAAAAGCAATAAATGAGTCACAGCCAACACATGTCATTAGTTTGATTGACTTTTATCTGGTTCATATTGATTTGCAATAGGCCATAGTTGAGTCAGTAACACAGCTGGTTCTGGTTCCTATGATGGTAGTCCTCAACTTATAACCATTTCACAACTGCCTGAAATGGTTACAACGGCACTGAAAAAAGTGATTTATGACCAGTCCTCACACCTACAACATTGTAGCAGCAACATGATCAAACTTTGGGCATTTGGCAACTGACATGTATTTATAACAATTGCAGCATTCTGGAGTTAGGTGATCGCCATTTGCAACCTTTCCAGCTGGCTTCCAACAAACAAAAGTCAATGAGGAAGCCACGTTTGCTTAACGCAGAGGTCTTCAAACTTGGCAGCTTTAAGACTTGTGGACTTCAACTCCCAGAATTCTGGGAGTTGAAGTCCACAAGTCTTAAAGCTGCCAAGTTTGAAGACCTCTGGCTTAACCAATGCACGATTCACTGAACGAATGCAGTCATTTGTTTTAACAAAAAATGGTCTAAGTCGGGCAGTGACTCTAGCTTAAGTGCTGCCTTGCTTAGCAACGGAAATTCTGATCCCAGTGTGATTGCAAATCGAAAGCTCCCTTATATTATGTCTGTCCAGTATGTTCTCCACCTTGAGTTGTTTATAAAAATAATAAAGGTGGGATAAAAATCTAATAAATAAATAAATAGATGACTTGAACTGCCATACAGTTACAACATCCAGCTCTCAAATTCAGCATGACTCTTTGCAGAGGTCCAGTTCCCATATTCCTCAGCACTATGGATATTGTTATCAATTTAGACTGCTTAAGAACCAGAACTAAACATTGCGCTGATATCTATCTCATCTATCTATCTATCTATCTATCTATCTATCTACCTACCTACCTACCTACCTACCTACCATCTACCTATCTATCTACCTTTCTACCTACTTACCTACCTACCTACCTATGGTGGGTTGCTCCCGGTTCGGACTGGTTCACAAGAACCGGTAGTAAAACTGGTGGGAGGCTCCACCCACCACTCCAGATGTCGTCATTTGCGATCTGCGCAATCCCGTTGCAAACCCATAGTAACGATAAGTAGAACTCACCCCTGCTATCTACCTACCTACCCGTGTTTCCCTGAAAATAAGACCCTGTCTTATATTTTTTTGAACCCTGAAATAAGCGCTTGGCCTTATTACCATTTGGGCTTATTATCAGTGGATGTCTTATTTTGGGGAAAACAGTGTACCTACCTATCTATTCATCTGTCTGTCTATCTATCTATCCATCTATCTATCCATCTCTACATCCTTCCATCCATCCATCCATTCATCCCTCCTACCTACCTACCTACCCACCAACTCCACTCCAATCCAAAGCAAATTTAGATCTTCCCTAATTTCCCCTCTCCCCCCACCCCAAATCACCACCTAGATTTCCAACATCATTCATCCACAAGTTTGGTCTAATGGTTAAGACACAGACTAGAAAGCAGGAGGCCATGAGTTCAAGTCCTGCCTTAGCCATGAAAGCCAGCTGGGCGACCTTGAG